TAGAAGCACGATCTATAATAATACTACTGGAAAATTCAAATATAGGAATTTAAATGTTTGTAATCATAGAAATTGTATCACTAGTAGTGCATTATTTTCTAATGACACTATTTAACATAAACAGTGAATAGTGATTTATATCCATCTGAATATAGTAGTTTTNTATTGACTATTGATATAAAAATATAATTTTCTTTTTAAATTATTTATTTTAGGAATAAAAGAAGAAAAAATTTTTATTTTCTTTAATATTTAAATAATGATTTGTTAACTGGGTGTTCGGTGATTTTGCTAGAGTACTGAACAAACAAATAAATAAATAGCATGTAGAGTTGCATCTACGATTTTGATGTATTTGTATATATTTTTAAATGCTTTGAACGAGTGATTCTCAATTATGTGATCTACTTCGTTCATCATTCTTTAATTTTAATAGGCATTTATGTACTTTAATAAAAATCTTTATTTTTATTAAAAATTTATGTCCTTATTTAATATTGATTATTAATTAAATGTGTATTACTTATTTCTTTGTTAGGATTTGTGTCCAGCAAATTAAATATATTGCTGTTTAATTAACAAACATAAGCAATTAGTAAAAATACAAATTAATTATATGAATATTAATTATGTGAAAATTTTATTGTTATATATATATAATTTTCTCTTACAAATTAAAAATATAAATACTATGTAAATTAAACTCTTTTGTATGTAAATATCCTTTGTATGTTTAAAATCTCATTCTTATTGGTAACAAATATTTTTCCGAATTTTTATTTTACCAGTTTTTCGACATTAATTCTTCTTAAAAAAAACGAATATATTTTTTTTTTACGTATTTGAATATATAAAAAGAAAACAAAAGAAAAATTAATAAGTTTTTTTTTTTCTTTTTTTTTCTGGCTTGTTCATGGCTAACTACGTATTCTTCATATAGCTAGTCCTTTTTATTACCAAATTGGTTACTAAAACCTTTTATTAACCAATAGCACATAGGTGTAGCTATTAATCTTCCATTTTCAGTTTTAATTACTTTATGTAATAAATATGAATAAGGTTTATAATGGTTATTGTAACCATAATATTTCAGCTGATTTCGTTAATAATCTTATAAATGTATAAAATAACATTATCAACATTAATATCTATTCTTGTTCCAATGATTTCCTCTTCAATATATTTAAGTCTTCATCCATTAGTTTCCATCTATTATTTAAATAAATTATTATCATATTTAAAATATTTTCCTACAATAATATTTAAAAACTAGAACATATATAATCCATTCTAAATATAATAAAATATAATGTTTCATCTACAACTTCGTTAGCTGTATTGATATATATCAATAATGAATTTTTTTATCATTTCATCAACAGGTGTATCTTTTTATACATATATGGTCTTAAGTATATAATTAATACTATTACGAAATCTTTCATTAATACCATTTCTTTGAGGATAATGAGTATTTTCATGGTACAATTTTATTTGTAATTATCCTGTAACCTATTTCTGAAGTCATTAACTCATTTAAATAGAAGCACGATCTATAATAATACTACTGGAAAATTCAAATATAGGAATTTAAATGTTTGTAATCATAGAAATTGTATCACTAGTAGTGCATTATTTTCTAATGACACTATTTAACATAAACAGTGAATAGTGATTTATATCCATCTGAATATAGTAGTTTTCTTCTTTCCATGTTTTGAATCCAATTATATATAATGAGACCATATAAAATATATTAGATTTTAATAATTACTGGTTATTGGGCTTAAACAGTCTATTATGCATTACCTTATAAACTAAAAAATTCGTGACACATTCCTCAATATATCGAATAATAATTATTTATCAAAGGTTTTGTAGAATTTTCTTTAAAGTTTTATTGACTCTACAACATCCAGTAAATTTACTATGAAGGAAATACATAAAATAAATTTTATATCATCCTCATATAAATAATTATTCTAATTTATAGTGAGTAGATAAGTTATTTATTCATACTACATCTATTGGAATATTATTTATCTCTTACAATATCAATTATATCTTGATAAGATGAAATAACACAAAAACTTTCATAATCCTCCAATGACTTAATGCAAAATAAATTTATGTAGTTAAGATTAGCGTAATTATTTATTGATTTCATTATGCAATAATCCAAACCTTTTTGAATTATTTGAATCAATTCAAATTCTAAAATAAACTCTAAAAATATTAATTTTCATCCATATAATTTTCTAGTGTTAATAAAGTCTATTCCTATATGGCCTTTGCAATACGTTTTAATCAATACCATAGATCCTTTAGTATAATAATCAAATATTTAACAAGTTATAACTATTGAAAATAATTTTTTTTATATTATACTCTATTTACGCTAAATGTCAATATGTTTTCTTGACGTATAGTGAACATATTTAGCTTTACATATCTTGTTTATATTGGTTAATACATTGCTCTATAAACAATACAATTGACCTTTTTTGTATAATATTTACATGAATAAATAGAATAAAAACATTTTATTATGTGCATGCTAATTCGCAAGGACAATCTTCTATCATAAATGTTTGCTCTAAAATAGTTATTCAAAAAGTAGGTAAACAAAAATATATGTATATATTTACTCGCACTTAAAGTGAGTGCACTTAAAAAAAAATAAATAAATAATAATATTGTTTTTGTGTGGGTATTTACAATTAAAAAAAAATATATATTATGATGATATTTTTTTTATTACAAAAAATAAATTAGTTTTTTTTTTTTTTTTTTTTTTTTTTTGAAGGATAATGTGCAGACTACTATAGAATGTATATTTTTATTATAAGCTAAAATGTAATTTTAAGGTAATTACATTTTAGAGTGTTACTTATATTAAAAAAAAAATAATTAACTAATAAGTTAAATTTAATGTTTATTAATAAAAATAAAAATTTTATATTAAATTTAAGTAGAGTTTACACTACATTTTCCTTAGTAATTTATTTTTTTGACACGAGATAAGTAATTTAACATCCATTAATAATCAGAGCTATAAATAATTTCTTTTCCTTAAGAATATTATCTTATTTATAGTAATTATAATCATTTTAATACTTCATGAACTGTTACTTGGATAATTTAAGTTTCCATATCTCCAATACATACACTATTCAAATTATTTTAATATCATGTAATATCTATGTTAAATGTAAGACACTTTTATATTTTAAATATTTTTACTTGTAAGAACAATTTCTAGATATAATATTAAAAATATATAAATCATATAAAACGCACTTTTATTAAATTTATGATTATTTTTTAGAGAAAAATTAGTGTTAAAATATTAAAAATCATAGCATTTATACACACCACTTATTATTAATAATATATCAAAGATTCATACAAATTAAATTTAAAAAATAAAAATTCTTATTAAAATTCTCCATTAATATTTACCATTATGTCTTATAAAATTTATCCCTTTATGAAAAAAGTTATATTAGTGAGGGACAACTGTTGAATTCATTTATACTATATAAATGAGTTACCTAAATTTCGTAGGTAAAATGAAAAATAAAAAATTGTTCTATAAATATATAAAACTAAAAATAAAAAAGAAAATAAACACATCGTAATAATAATTAACACTTATCAAATATATATATGAAGGCAAAAAAAAAGAAAAAAATAATTTTTTTTTATGTTTAATTAGAAGATTATAATAATATATAAGCAAAAAGTTATTTTATAATTCTGTTTTATCTTTATTTATTGATATTTTTTATATCACAATAAAATGCAATCCTTTGAATTTTATAAGAAGAAATCTATTATATTTAACTGAAGATATAATTTCATATTCAGTATATAAAACTTATATTAAATTTGAAACTGATAAGTATTACTTGTAAAAATGTAAATTTATAAAATTATATTTTTAGAATAAAGTAAATTTGTCAAAAAACATTTTTTGAAAAAAATTTACTTTAAATATGTGATAAAAAAAATAGTATTTTTTTTTTTTTTTTTAAATTGTAATTAATTTATTTGACTTTTAAATTTGCTTTTTATAAGATTTGTTATTATAATTTCTTTAATGTAAGTACCTACCTTCACTTTTTCTTTTAAATTTAAGTACTTAATAAATTTTTTCTATTTTTTTTCAAATAATTGAAAAAGTAATTTTTTTTAAAAAATAATTATAACAAAAAATAAATATATACATATATTGTATAAACATTTATCAATAATAAAATTAAAAAAAAAGAATTAAGTTAAAAAAAAGTATATTAGAAAAATCAAATAAGTTATATCTAAAAGGAAAATATACACAAAAAAAAATTAGTTTTATATTAAGTGAATATTTGTCACAAAATGTAGTATACTGTATGAAAGATACATGCGCATAAAAATTTTTAATTTATAGAGTTTTTTTTTCTTTTTTTGATAGAGATATATTTCTATAATATACGAAGATTTATATTTATAAATCATAATATACCGTATATTAAATAATTTAAAGTTCGACATAATTCACAGAGATTAATAATTTAGAAAAAAAAAATTAAAAAAATCCTTTAACATTAAATGTATATCATTTATAATTTTTATGTGCATTAAATTAAAAATATTTAATTTTTTTACATAATTTAAAGATAAATAATATTTTAATAAAATATTTTTAAAGTTACTTTATCCGATTTATTATATTTTTCATTTATTTGTTAATTAACATTCTTATTTTATTTTTTAATGAATTAAGAATATTATTTCTACTTAAAGTTACCATAATATCATGTGTAATAATATAAAATTAGAAATTACATTTCATATATTAAGAATTTTCTATTTGAAAAATTTATGAAATTAATATAAGTTATAATAATATCTAAATTAATATTACAAATCCATAATTTAGTATTATTAAAATTAGAAACAATTTTATACCTGACTTAGCAACCTTCACTTCAATATTATTCTATAAATATGTTAATATGAAATCAATAACTTTATATTTAAAAATTACTACATTCTTTCTTTTAATTTGGATGTATCAATGTTTTTTTAACGTAAGTTAAAATTTTTACAAAATATATACATATAGATATATTTTATTTCTAATTATTTTAAATATTCCATTTGATTTACTATTCTAACAAAAGAAACATTCTCTTATAAAATTTTTATTTAATCCATAGTGTGATTCCTATAAAACTTTGATTGATAAAAATATACCGCAAGCAAAAAATGAGTTAAAAAATGAAAGAGTGTTAACAGAGGGTGACATATCAGGAATAAAGCGAACTTACGTTAAGGAATGTATAGAAAAATGTCCATTATATAATAAGAAAAACAAATGTAAAGATCCGGATAAATACAAGGATCCGTCCGATTATTGGTATATGGTCGTTATTCCAAAAATGTGGGATCGTTTTAATCAAGAAACAAGTGAAATGGACCCTAAATTGAAAAAAAAGAAATGGAATGTAGAATGGCATAAAATTTCAACTTCGAAAGTTAAAGATCTACATTTAATGTCTCGTAGACGTGATATTACATATGAAGAAAAAAAAAGAAGAACTGATAATGTTTTGAAAGAACTTGACTCTAAATTTGAGATATTTTTATGTGAATGCAATAAAGAGATGAGAGACAATAAAACAGAATCCAAATCTAAGAAAGAGATGAGAGAAAATAAAACAGAATCCGAATCTAAGAAAAAGATGAGAGACAATAAAGCAGAATCTGAATCTAAGAAAGAGATGAGAGATAATAAAACAGAATCAGAATCTGATAAAGAGATGAGAGACTATAAAACAGAATCCGAATCTAAGAAAGAGATGAAAGACAATAAAACAGAATCAGAATCTGATAAAGTGATGAAAGACAATAAAACAGAATCAGAATCTGATAAAGAGATGAAAGACAATAAAACAGAATCAGAATCTGATAAAGAGAAGAAAGACAATAAAACAGAATCAGAATCTAAGAAAGAGATGAGAGAAAATAAAACAGAATCCGAATCTAGGAAAGAGCAGGGATCAAATGAAATAAAAAATTATAAATTAAAAATTTGGAAATTGCTTATTATTTTGATAATCTTAAGAAGAATAAATATTAATGGTTTAACAGAGAATATAGGATTAGTCATGCACAAGATCTAGTTAAAAAAAAGAAAGATTAATACCTTATCTAAATTTTTTTTTATAGAAATATATTCTATTTTTTAAAAAAAAAAAATTAAAAGAGAAAAATTTTTTAGAAAAAAAAAATTTCATGAGAATATTTTTTAATTTTTTTGAATAAAATTTTCGTTATGTGATATTAAAATAATTAAAAATTTTTTTTTATTATTTAACTATTTTTATTATTATTAAAAGCAGTGATCATATGTTACTGAAAATTACTTAAAAATAGCAATAAATATTTTGTACTTAAAAATTAATAATTAATGAGAATATATGTTTATAATAAAAATACATAATATTTATCAAAGTATATCCACAATGAACCGCATTATTGCGGTTTATTTGTTTATATCATTAAAATTAGGTTTAAAATCCATTTAATTGTTATAGAAAACTCCATATTCTCTTTAATAATTTCTTTTTCATTACTCTAGCAATTTCATTGAATGATAATTTAATAAATTAAAAATGTAAATTATGGAATGTAAATAAATCAGGTAGTAAATTTAGAGGATAAAATAGAAGAAAAAAGTTGGATGCAGAATTATTACCAGCTGATTTATTAACTGGGTATTCGGTGACTTTGCTAAAGTACTAAACCAAAAAATTAATAAAGAGCATATGAAGTTGCCTCTACGATTTTTATGTATTTATATATATTTTTATATGCTTTGAACGAGTGATACTTAATTATGCTATCTACTTCATTCAGCATTCTTTAATTTCAATAGGAATTTATTTTCTCTAATAAAAATCTTTATTTTTATTAAAAATTTAAATCCGTATTGAATATTGATTATTAATTAATTGTAAATTATTTATTTCTTTGTTATGAGTTATATTCAGCAATTTAAATATATTGCTGTTGAATTAACAAACATAAACAATTAGTAAAAATACAAATTAATTATATTAATATTAATTACGTGAAAATTTTATTGTTGTATATATAAAATTTTATCTTACAAAATTCATTAAAATCATATTTCATTCCACCCAAAAAAAAATCTTTCTTTTTTTTTTTTTTTTTTTTATTTTTTATTTATTCGTAAAAAATCTTTTTCCAATTGATTTTTTTTGATAAATTTTTTTTTTCCTGACGGTCTTATTTTTATAAAAAAAATACAAACAAAAAAAATTGATCATATTTTTTTTTTTTTTTTAGTGTGCATGACCAACTTCATATTCTTCATTTAACTAGTCCTTTTATTTTCTAAAAAGGCTAATAAAGCCTTTTATTAACCTATAAATCCGTGAGGTCTATTAATAAATATCAATAATTCTTTTTTTATCATTTCACCAACAGGTATATCATTTTCTACATATATGATATTAAGTATATAATTAGGACTATTACGAAATCTTTCATTATTACCATTCCTTTGAGAATAATGAGTATTTTCATGGTACAATTTTATTTGTAATTATCCTGTAACCTATTTATGAAGTTCTTAACTCATTTAAATAGAACCACGATCTATAATAATACTACTGGGAAATTCAAATATAGGAATTTAGATGTTTGTAGTCATAGAAGTTGTATCACTAGTAGTGCATTACTTTCTAATGACAATATTTAACATAAACAGTGAATAGTGATTTATAGCCATCTGAATATAGTAGTTTTCTTCATTCCACTTTTTGAATCCAATGATATCTAATGAGACCATATAAAATATATTAGATTTTAATAATTACTGGTTATTGGGCTTAAACAGTCTATTATGCATTACCTTATAAACTAAAAAATTCGTGACACATTCCTCAATATATCGAATAATAATTATTTATCAAAGGTTTTGTAGAATTTTCTTTAAAGTTTTATTGACTCTACAACATCCAGTAAATTTACTATGAAGGAAATACATAAAATAAATTTTATATCATCCTCATATAAATAATTATTCTAATTTATAGTGAGTAGATAAGTTATTTATTCATACTACATCTATTGGAATACTATTTATCTCTTACAATATCAATTATATCTTGATAAGATGAAATAACACAAAAACTTTCATAATCTTCCAATGACTTAATGCAAAATAAAATTATGTAGTTAAGATTAGAGTAATTATTTATTGATTTCATTATCCAATAATACAAACCTTTTTGAATTATTTGAATCCGTTCAAATTCTAAATTAAATTCTAAAAATTTTAATTTCCATCCATATAATTTTCTAGTGTTAATAAAATCTATTCCTATATGGCCTTTGCAATACGTTTTAATCAATACCATAGATCCTTTAGTATAATAATCAAATATTTAACAAGTTATAACTATTGAAAATAATTTTTTTTACATTGTACTCTATTTCCGCTAAATGTCAATATGTTTTCTTGACGTATAGTGAACATATTTAGCTTTACATATATTGTTTATATTGGTTAATACATTGCTCTATAAACAATACAATTGACCTTTTTTGTATAATATTTGCACGAATAAATAGAACAAAAACATTTTATTCTGCGCATGCTAATTCGCAAGGACAATCTTCTATCATAATGTTTGCTCTAAAATAGTTATTCAAAAAGTATGTAAACAAAAAAAAAAAGTACATACATACTTGCACTTAATGTGAGCGCACTTAAAAAAAAATAAATAAATAATAATATTTTTTTGTGTGGGTATTTACAATTAAAAAAAAATATATATTATGATGATATTTTTTTTATTACAAAAAAAAAATTAATTTTTTTTTTTTTATTTGGAGGATAATGTGCAGACTACTATAGAATGTATATTTTTATTTTAAGCTAAAATGTAATTTTAAGGTAATTACATTTTAGAGTGTTACTTATATTAAAAAAAAAATAATTAACTAATAAGTTAAATTTAATGTTTATTAATAAAAATATAAATTTTATATTAAATTTAAGTAGAGTTTACACTACATTTTCCTTATTAATTTATTTTTTTGACACGAGATAAGTAATTTAACAGCCATTAATAAATCAAAGCTATAAATAATTTCTTTTCCTTAAGAATATTAACTTATTTATAATAATTATAATCATTTTAATACTTCAGGAACTTTTACTTGGATAATTTATGTTTCTATATCTCCAATACATACACTATTCAAATTATTTTAAAATCATGTAATATCTATGTTAAATGTAAGACACTTTTATATTTTACATATTATTACTTGTAAGAAATACTTCTACATATATAATATTAAAAAAATATAAATCATAAAAAATGCATTTTTATTAAATTTATGATTATTTTTTAGAGAAAAATTAGTGTTAAAATATTAAAAATTATAGTATTTATAAACACCACTTTTTATTAATAATACGTCAATGATTCTAACAAATTAAATTTAAAAAATAAAATTTCTTATTAAAATTCTCCATTAATATTTACAAAGATGTCTTATATAATTTAACCTTTTAAGAAAAAAGTTATATTATGAAGGGAAGGTTGTTGAATTCATTTATACTATATAAATGAGTTACCTAAATTTCGCAAGTAAAATGAAAAATAATAAATTGTGCTATAAATATATAAAACTAAAAATAAAAAAGAAAATAAACAAAATTCAATAATAATCAACACTTATCAAATAAATATATAAGGAAAAAAAAAAAAGAAATAATTTTTTTTTATATTTTATTAGAAGATTATAATAATATATATACAAAAAGTTATTTTATAATTCTGTTTTATCTTTATTTATTGATATTTTTTATATCACTATAAAAATGCATTCTTTTGAATTTTATAAGAAAAAATCTATTATATTTAACTAAAGAGATATTTTTATATTCAGTATATAACATTTATATTAAATTTGAAACTGATAAGTATTACTTGTAAAAAGGTAAATTTATAAAATTATATTTTTAGAATAAAGTAAGTTTGTCAAAAAACTTTTTTTGAAAAAAATTTACTTTAAATATGTGATTAAAAAAATAGTATTTATTTTTTTTTTTTAAATTGTAATTAATTTATTTTACTTTTAAATGTGCTTTTTATAAGATTCATTTTTATAATTTCTTTAAAATAAATACCTATTTTCAGTTTTTCTTTTGAGTTTAAGTACTTAACAAATTTTTTTTATTTTTTTTGAAATAGTCGAAAAAGTAATTTTTTTAAAAAATAGTTATAACAAAAAATAAATATATACATATATTGTATAAACATTTATCAATAATAAAAATAAAAAAAAAAAGAATTAAAATAAAAAAGAGTATATTAGAAAAATCAAAAAAGCTACATTTAAAAGAAAAATATACACAAACAAAAACTAGTTTTATATTAACTGAAAAATTGTGACAAATGTAGTATACTGCTTGGAAGATACATGCGTATAAAAATTTTTAATTTATAGAGTTTTTTTTTTTTTTTTTGATGGAGATATATCTCTATAATATATTAAGATTTATATTTATAAATCATAATATACCGTATATTAAATAATTTAAAGTTCGACATAATTCACAGAGATTAATAATTTAGAAAAAAAAAATTAAAAAAATCCTTTAACATCAAATGTATATCATTTATAATTTTTATGTGAGTTAATTTATAAATATTTTATTTTTTTATATAATTTAAAGATAAATAATATTTTAATAAAATATTTTTAAAGTTACTTTATCCGATTTATTATATTTTTCATTTATTTGTTAATTAACATTCTTATTTTATTTTTTAATGAATTAAGAATATTATTTCTACTTAAAGTTACCATAATATCATATGTAATAATAAGAAATTAGAATTTACATTTCATATATGCAAAAAAATTTTCTATTTTAAAAATTTAAGAAATTAATATAAGTTATAATAATATTTAAATTAATATTACAAATCCATCATTTAGTGTTATTGAAAATTGAAACAATTTTACACCTGAATTAACAACGTCCATTTCAATATTATTATATAAATATATTAATATGAAAACGTTAACTTTATATTTAAAAATTACTACATTCCTTCTTTTAATATGGATGTATCAATGTTTTTATAACGTAAGTTAAAATTTTTACAAAAAATATACATATAGATATATTTTATTTCTAATTATTCTTGACATTCCATTTGATTTACTATTCTAACACAAGAAACATTCTTTCAATAAATTTTTATTTAATCCATAGTGTGATTCCTATAGAACATTGATTGACAAAAATATATTGCAAACAAAAAATGAGTTAAAACATGAAAGAGTATTAACAGAGGGTGACATAGAAGGAAAAAAACAAACTAGCGCTAAAGGATGTCTGGAAGAATGTCCATTAAATAATAAAAAAAAAAAATGTAAAAATCCGGATAAATACGAGAATCCATGCGATCGATGGCAGAGAGTTAATACTCCATTATTGTGGGAGCGATTTTATGGAGAAACAAGTAATATGGACCCTAAATGGATAGACCAAAAATGGAATGTTGAATGGAATGACATTTCAGCTTACAAACTTAATGAGCTTTCTTTAATATATGATCGTCAAGATATTTCAGAAGAAGATAAAGAAAAAAAAATTGATAGTGTTAAGAAAGAACTTTACATAGAATACGTGAAATTTTTATTCGAATGTAAGAAAGAGGTGCTAAAGAATAAAACAGAGTGCGAACCTAAGAAAGAGATGAGAGACAATAAAAAAGAATCCGAATCTACGGAAGTGATAAGAGAAAATAAAACAGAATCCGAAACTAAGAAAGAGCAGGGAATAAATGAAATAAAAAAAATAAATTAAAAATTTGAAAATTACTTATAGGTTTGATAACTTTTACGAGAATAAAAATTAATGGTTTAACAGAGAATATAGTATTATTCATGCAAAAGATCTAGTTATAAAAAAGAAAAATTAATATTTTTTCTAAATTTTTTTTATAGAAATATATTTTATTTTTTACAAAAAAAAAAAAAATTAAAAGAGAAAAATTTTTCAGAAAAAAAAGAATTTCATGAGAATACTTTTTAATTTTTAAGAATAAAATTTTCGTTTAGTGATATTAATATAATTAAAATTTTTTTTGTTATTTAAGTATTTTTATTATTTTTAAAACCAGTGAACTTAAATAACTGAAAATTACTTATAAAAAGCAATAAATATTTTGTAGTTATGATTTATTAATTGGGTGTTCGATGACTTTGCTAGAGTACTTAACAAACAAATTAATAAAGAGCATGTAAAGTTTTTTTATTAACTGGGTGTTCGGTAACTTTATTAGAATACTGAACGAACAAATTAATAAAGAACATGTATAGCTGCCTATACGATTTTGATGTATTTATATATACTTTTATATGCTTTGAACGAATGATTCTTAATTACGTCCTCTACATAGTTCAGAATTCTTTTATTTCATTAGGCATTTATTTAGTTTAATAAAAATCCTTATTTTTAATAAAAATTTAAATCCTTATTAAATATTGATTATGATTTAATTGTTATTTATTTATTTCTTTGTTATGAGTTACATTCAGCAATTAATACATATTGCTGTTGAATTAACAAACATAAACAATTAGTAAAAATGGAAATTAATTATATGAATATTAATTACGTGAAAATTTTATTGTCATATGTATAAATTTTTCTCTCACAAATTAAAAATATAAATATTATGAAAATGAAACTCTTTTATGTAAACATTATCTATTTAAGATCTCATTTTTATTGGTACTAAATGTTACTCTCTATTTTTATTTTAACAATTTTCTCTCACCATTTAAATCATTTAAAAAAATAATAAGTATATTTTTTTTTTACGTATCTTCATTTATTAAAAGAAAAATATGAAAAAAAATTCAATAATTTTTTTCTTTTTTTTTGCGTGTGCACAACCAACTACGTATTCTTCATATAGCTAGTCCTTTTTATTACCAAAAAGGTTAATGAAGCCTTTTATTGACCATTAATGCTATAATTAACTTTTAGCAATTCAAATTCATTTCTCTCAAATTAATAAACATAAATAATTAAAAAAATAAATTATACAAATAATACAAAAAACTAAAATTTTATTATATATATTTAAACAAAATATATTTCAAGAATCTTCGTGACAACAATTATTTCTTCTATATTTGTATAATAAAAAGTATTATTAGACTTTTTGAGAATAAAAAATAGTTTCTGTATGGAAAATAAATAGTTATGCAAGCGATAGTAAAAAAAAAAAAAAATTAATTATTAATTTTTTTTTATTTTCTTTTTGGTAAATTTAAAATACATAAAAAAATATATTTTTATTTTTAAAAATGATTTAATGAATTAAAAATTGAAAAGAAGAGTTGTTAACTAACAAGTTTCTTGAAGTATACTATGTTTTAAATTTATGTAAGAAAATTTTATAACAATGATAATAAAAATTTCGTGTTAGTACTATTGCGTATTTTATTTCGTATTCTACTACTTAATTATATTTGCTAATTTCGGAAAAATGCATTTGAATTGTTAAATATAACTTATAACCTTATAAATAAAATACATATAGTTAATATCAATAATCAATGAGGTTTCAAATTTTTATTAAAAATTTAGTATTTTTATTAAAGTAAATAATTGCCTCTTAAAAACAATAAATTTTCATTTAGGAAAACTTTGTATATAGAACAGTATATTGGTTAATAATATTAAAACTTAACATAAATTCATTAAATTAGTAGAGTAAATTATATTTTCTCTTTATGGTTAATAAAAGGCTTCATTAACCTTTTTGGTAATAAAAAGGATAGCTATATGAAGAATACGTAATTGGTCACGCACACAAAAAAGAAAATATATTTATTTTTTTTAAAAAGATTTAATGAAAGAGAGAAAATTGGTAAAATAAAAATCGGGAGTAAGATTTAGTACCAATAAAAATGAGATCTTAAACAGATAAAAGACATTTACATATAAAAGAGTTTAATTTGCATAATATTTATATTTTTAATTTGTGAGAGAAAATTTTATACATATGACAATAAAATTTTCACGTAATTAATATTAATATAATTAATTTGTATTTTTACTAATTGTTTCGGTTATATAATTCAAAAGCAATATATTTAAATTAATGAATATAACTCATAACAAAGAAATAAATAAATTACAATTATATAATAATCAATATTCAATATTGATTTAAATTTTTATTAAAAAATAGGGTTTTTATTAAAGTAAATGAATGCCTATTTGAATCAAAGAATGCTGAATGAAGTAGATAATATAAATAAGGATCATTCGTTCAAAGCATATAAAAATATATATAAAAATACATTAAAATCGCAGAGGCAACATTACATGCTCTTTATTAATTTGTTTGTACAGTACTCTAGCAAAGTCACCGAACACCCAGTTAATAAATCAATACTACATAAATGACATACCTAAATTTCAACGTAAATGAAAAATAAAAAATTGTGCTATATATATATAAAACTAAAAATAAAAAAGAAAATAAGTACATCGTAATAATCGACAACACTTATCAAATAAATATATAAAGGCAAAAAAAAAAAAAAAAGAAAAAAAAAACAATTTTTTTATATATATAATTATAACATTATAATAATACATATGCAGAAAGTTATTTTATAATTCTGCTTTATCATTATTTATTTATATTTTATTTATCAAAAAGAAAATGCATTCTTTTGAATTTTACGAGAAAAAATCTATTAAATTTAACTAAAGATATATTTTTATATTCAGTAAATAACATTTATATTAAATTTGAAACTGATAAGCATTACTCGTAAAAAAGTAAATTCATAAAAATGTATTTTTAGAATAAATTAAGTAAATTGGTCAAAAAATAAAACTTTTTTTAAAAAATATATTTTACTGTAAATATATAATTAAAAAAATAGTATTTTTTTTTTTTTTTTTTAAATTGTAATTAATTTCATTGACTTTTAAATGTGCTTTTTATAAGATTCATTATTATAATTTCTTTAAAATAAATACCTATTTTCAGTTTTTCTTTTGAGTTTAAGTACTTCATAAATTTTTTTTATTTTTTTTGAAATAGTTGAAAAAGTAATTTTTTTAAAAAATAGTTATAATTAAAAAAAATTTATACATATATTGTATAAACATTTATCAATAATAAAAATAAAAAAAAAAAGAATTAAAATAAAAAAGAGTATATTAGAAAAATCAATAAAGCTACATTTAAAAGAAAAATATACACAAACAAAAACTAGTTTTATATTAACTGAAAAATTGTGACAAATGTAGTATACTGCATGAAAAATACATGCGTATAAAAATTTTTAATTTATAGAGTTTTTTTTTCTTTTTTTGATGGAGATATATCTCTATAATATATTAAGATTTATATTTATAAATCATAATATACCGTATTTAAAATAATATTAAGTTCGACATAATTCACAGAGATTAATAATTTAGAAAAAAAAAATTAAAAAAATCCTTTAACATTAAACGTATATCATTTATAATTTTTATGTTCATTAAATTAAAAATATTTAATTTTTTTACATAATATAAAGATAAATATAATTTTAATAAAATATTTTTAAAATAACTTTATCCGATTTATTATATTTTTTATTTATTTGTAAATTAACATTCTTATTGTATTTTTTTAAGGAATTAAGAATATTATTTCCATCTAAAGTAACCATAATATCATATGTAATAATAAAAAATTAGAAATTACATATCATATATGAAAATAATTTTCTATTTTGAGAATTTAAGATATTAATACAAGTTTTAATAATGTCTAAATTAATATTACAAATCCATAATTTAGTGTTATTGAAAATTGAAACAATTTTACACTTGAATTAACAACTTCCACTTCAATATTATTCTATAAATATTTTAATATGAAAACATTAACTTTATATTTAAAAATTACTACATTCCTTCTTTTAATTTGGATGTATCAATGTTTTTTTAACGTAAGTTATAATTTTTACAAAATATATACATATAGATATATTTTATTTCTAATTATTTTTAACATTCCATTTGATTTACTATTCAAACAAAAGAAACATTCCTTTAAAAAATTTTTATTTAATCCACAGTGTGATTCCTATAAAACTTTGATTGATAAGAATATAATGCAAACAAAAAATAAGTTAAAATATGAAAGAGTGTTATCAGAGGGTGACATAGCAGGAAAAAAGCAAACTTACGGTGAAGATTGCATAGGAGAATATCCATTAGATAATAAAAAAAACAAATGGGAAAATTCAGCTAAATGCGAGAATCCGTACGATCAATGGCATAAAGTCATTACTCCAAAATTGTGGGAGCAATTTAATAAAAGAACAAGTGAAATGGACCCTAATTGGAGAGACCAAAAATGGAATAATGAATGGAATAATATTTCCGCTGACAAAGCTAATGATCTGTCTTCAATATATCATCGACAAGATATTTCAGAAGAAGAAAAAAAAAAATTAATTGATAATGTTAAGATAGAACTCTACAAACTATTTATGAATTTTTTAGACAAATGTATGAAAGAGATGAGAGACAATAAAACAGAATCCGAACCTATGAAAGATATAGAGGACAATAAAACAGAATCCGAATCTAAAAAAGAGATGATAGACAATGAAACAGACTCCGAATCTAAGAAAGAGGTGAGAGACAATGAAACGGAATCCGAATCTAAGAAAGATATAAAGGACAATAAAACAGAATCCGAATCTAAGAAAGAATTGACAGATAATAAAACAGAATCCGAATCTAAGAAAGATATGAGAGACAATAAAACAGAATCAGAATCTAATAAAGAGATGAGAGATAATATAACAGAATCCAAATCTAAGAAAGAGATGATAGACAATAAAACAGAATCCGAATCTAAGAATGAGAAGGGAAAAAATAAAATAAAAAAGAATAAATCAAATATTTTGAAATTTCTTTTTAAGAGGTTTGATAACCATTAAGAAAATAAAAATTAATGTTTTAACAGAGAATATAGGATTATTCCTTCGCAAGATCTAGTTAAAAAAAAGAAAAATTAATATTTTGTTTAAATTTTTTGTATAGAGATATATTTTATTTTTTAAAAAAAAAAAAATTAAATGAGAAAAATTTTTTAGAAAGAAAAAATTTCATGAGAATATTTTTTAATTTTTATGAATAAAATTTTCGTTAAGTGATATTAATATAATTAAAATTTTCTTTTATTTTTTAAGTATTTTTATTATTTTTAAAAGTAGTAAACTTAAATTACTTAAAATTACTTGTAAGAAGCCATAAATATTTTGTACTTAAAAATTAATAATTAATGAGTATATATGTTTTTAATAAAAATACATAATTTTATCAAAGTAAATTCACAATGAATCGCATTATTGCAGTTCATATGTTTATATCATTAAACTTAGATTTAAAATCCATTTAATTACTAGAGAAAACTCCATATTCTCTTTAATAATTTGTTTTTCATTACTCTAGCAAATTCATTGAATGATAATTTAATAAATTAAAAATGTAAATTATAGAAAATAAATAAATCATGTAGAAAACGTAGAGGATAAAATAGAAAAAAAAAAGGTGGATGCAGAATTATTACCAGCTTACCTAGATGATAAAAAAAAGACACAAAAAGGATAAAAAAAAAGTCTTTATTGAGAATAATTAGAGTTAAATATTTGATAATAAAAGGAATTGTTAGCCTTTTTGAGAAAAAAATTAATAGCTGTATGGAAAATAAATAGACATGAAAAAAAGAATTGAATAATGTGAAAAAAATATTCAAGTTATTAAAAAATAGAAGAAAAATTGATAAAAAGTTTTTTCGTGACAAATTTTTATCTTTGAATTTTAAGGAGAAAATTTTATATTAACAATAATAAGATTTTCGTGTTTGTAGTATTGTATTACTTGTTTTGTGTTTTGTTATTTATATATGCTAATTCGCGAGAAGTGAATATAAATTGTTAAACATTAATCATAACCTTATATGTAAAATATATGTAATTTAAAACTATAATTAATAAAAATTTAAATTTGTAATAAAAATAGGGATTTTCATTAAAATAATTAAATGCCTTTTAAAAACAATAAAAGCTCAATGAAGGAGAGCATATACATTTCAATGGTTTATAGTATTAAAAACATATTTAAATTCATTTAAATGGTAAAAGAAACTCTACATGCTCGTTGTAAATCCTTTTTTTCAATACTCTAGCAATATTATGAATAGGAAATTAATAAAACATTAATTACATTTATTATACTTATGTTATGATTTATATTTAACAATTCAAATTTATTGATCTTAAATTAACTAGCATAAATAATTGATAAAATTCAAATTAAATTACGTAAGTACTACAAAACACAAAAATTATATTATTTTTAATATAAAATTTTCTTATTAAAATTTATACAAAAATACTCCACAATAAGCTTTTTTAGTCAATAACTTTTTCATCTATTTTTAGACCACTAAATTCCTTTTAAAAAAAGTAAAAATTTATTTTTTTGTGTATTTAAATTACAAAAATAAAAAAAACATTAACTAATTTTTTTCTTTTTTTTTTACTTAACTATTGCATGTTCGTTAATAAACTGCATTATTAACCTTTTTGAAAATGAACAATAATAGTTGTATGGAAAATATATAGTTATACATGCAAATTCTAGGTGCAAAAAAAAAAATTAAAAAATAATTGTTAATTACTTTATATTATTTTTCTAATTTTTAAATACAAAAAAAATATATATTTACTTCTTTTTTGAAATGATTAATTTTTCAGTTGAAATATTATTTTATTTATTTCTTATTCAATAACTTTGCTAGAGTATTGAACAAACATATTAATAAAGAGAAGATAGAATTTTCTCTGCTAATTTAATGAATTTATGTTACGTTTTAATGCTATAAACCAGTAAACTGCTTTATATATATAATCTTCCTAAATATATATTTATTTTATTTAAGAGGCAATTATTTATTTTAATAAAAATACTAAATTTTTATTAAAAATTTAAAACCTTATTGATTATAGATATTAATTATATATATTTTATTTATAATGTTATGAGTAAGGTTTAACAGTTCAAATCCATTTTTCCAAAATTAAAAAAAATAAATAAGTAACAGAATACAAAATATACTACGCAATATTACTAACACGAAAATTTTATTATAATTGTTATAAAATTTTCTTACATGAACTTAAATTATAGTATACTTCAATTAAACTTTTTATTTAACAACTCTTCTATTCAATTTTTCAGTCATTAAATCATTTGATAAAATCAAAATATATTTTTTTATGTATTTAAAATTTACCAAAAAGAAAATAAAAAAACATTAATAATTAATTTTTTTTTTTTTTATCTATCGCTTGCATGTCTATTTATTTTCCATATATAAACTGTTTTTTATTCTCAAAAAGTTCAATAATATGTTTTATTATCCAAATATAGAAGAATGAATTGTTGTCACCGAGCTTCTTGAGGTATATTTTGTTTAAATTTATATAACAAAATTTTAGTGTTTTGTATCATTTATATTTTTTTTTTTTTTTTTAATTATTTATGTTTATTAATTTGAGAGAAATGAAATTGAATTGCTAAACATTAATTATAACATTTTAGATAAAATAAGGGTAATTTAAAACTATAATAAATAAAGATTTAAATTTTTAATAAAGATAGTGATTTTTATTAAAACAATTAAATGCCTCTTAAAAATAATAAATGCTCAATGAAGGAGAGCATATACATTTCAATGGTTTATAGTATTAAAAACAAATTTAAATTCATTTAATAGGTAGAATAAACTCTGCATTCTCGTTGTTAATCCCTTTGTTCAATACCTGGTTAATAAAAGGCTTCATTAACCTTCTAGGTAATAAAAAGGACTATCTATATTGTTAATAAAAGGCTTTATTTATCTTTTTTTTAATAAAAAAGACTAGCTATATTGTTAATAAAAGGATTTATTAACCTTTTTGGAAATAAAAAGAACTATCTATATGAACAATACGTAGTTGGTTGTGCGCACGCGAAAAAAAAAAAAAAATTATTGAATTTTTTTAGATATTTTTCCTTTTGATAAATAGAGTTACGTAAAAAAATAAAATATATTTTTTTTTTTTTAAATGATTGAATTGAGGAGAGAATGTTGGTAAAATAAAAATCGAGAGTAAGATTTATTACAAATAAAAATGAGATCTTTAACAGATAAAAATATTTACATAAAATAGTTTAATTTGCATAATATTTATATTTATAATTTGTGAGAGAAAATTTTATACATATGACAATAAAATTTTCACGTAATTAATATTCATGTAATTAATTTGCATCTTTACTAATTGCTTAGGTTTGCTAATTCAACAGCAATATATTTAAGTTGCTTAACATAATTAATAACAAAGAAATAAATAAATTACAATTAAATAATAATCAATATTCAATAAAGATTTAAATTTTTAATAATAATAAAGATATTTATTAAAATAAATAAATGCCTATTAAAATCAAAGAATGCTGAATTGAGTAGATAACATAAATAAGGATCACTCGTTCAAAGCATATAATAATATATATGAATGCATCAAAACCGTAGAGGAAACTATACATGCTCTTTATTAATTTGTTTGTTCAGTACTCTAGCAAAGTCACCGAACACCCAGTTAATAAATCACATGTCTATTTATTTTCCATACAGCTATTAATTTTTTTCTCAAAGAGGTTAACAATTCCTTTTATTATCAAATCCTTAACTCTAATAAATCTCAATAAAAACTTTTTTTTTTTCTTTTTTGTGTCTTTTTTTTGTCATCTAGGTAAGCTCGTAATAATTCTGAATCCAGCTTTTTTTCTTCTATTTTATCCTCTACGTTTTCTACCTGATTTATTTATTTTCTATAATTTACATTTTTAATTTATTAAATTATCATTCAATGAATTTGCTAGAATAATGAAAAACAAATTTATAAGGAGAATATGGAGTTTTCTATAGTAATTAAATGGATTTTAAATATAATTTTAATGATATAAAGATATAAACTGCAATAATGCGGTTCATTGTGAATTTGCTTTGATAAAAATTATGTATTTTTATTAAAAACATATATTCTCATTAATTATTAATATTTAAGTACAAAATATATATTATTTTTCATAAGTAATTATCACTAATTTAAGTTCACTGCTTTTAAAAATAATAAAAATACATAAATAATAAAAAAATATTTTAATTATATTAATATCACTTAACAAAAATTTTATTCTTAAAAATTAAAAATATTCTCATGAAATTTTTTATTTCTAAAAAATTTTTCTCTTTTAATTTTTTTTTTTTTTTAATAAATAAAATATATCTCTATAAAAAAAAATTTAGACAAAATATTAATTTTCCTTTATTTTAACTAGATCTTGCGCATGAATAATCCTATATTCTCTGCTAAAACATTACTTTTTATTTTCTTAATGGTTATCAAACATCTTAAAAAGAAATTTCAAAATATTTGATTTCTTATTTTTTATTTTATTTTTTCCGTTTTCATTCTTAGATTCGGATTCTGTTTTATTGTCTATCGTCTCCTTCATAGATTCGGATTCTGTTTTATTGTCTATCGTCTCCTCATTAGATTCGGATTCGTTTTTATTCTCTATCATCTCTTTCATAGATTCGGATTCTTTTTTATTGTCTATCGTCTCCTTCATATATTCGGATTCTGTTTTATTGTCTATCATCTCTTTCTTAAATTTGTCTAAAAAATTTATAAATAGTTTGTAGAGATCTTTCTTAACACTATCAATTTTTTTTTTTTTTTCTTCTTCTGAAATATCTTGTTGATGATATATTGAAGATAGATCACTAACTTTGTTAGCTGAAATTTCATTCCATTCATTATTCCATTTTTGGTCTCTCCATTTAGGGTCCATTTCTCTTGCTTCTTCATCAAATTGCTTCCGTAAAAATGGACTAATGACATTATGCCATTCATCGCAAGGATTCTCGTATTGAACCGGACTTTTACATTCGTTTTTTTTATTATCTAATGAACATTCTTCTAGACATCCTGCAGCGTTAGTTTGCTCTTTACCTGCTATGTCACCCTCTGCTAATGCTCTTTCATATTTTAACTCATTTTTTGTTTGAAATATATTTTTATCAATCAATGTTTTATAAGAATCATACTATGGATTAAATAAAAATTTTTAAAGAGAATGTTTCTTATGTTAGAATAGTAAATCAAATGAAATGTTAAAAATAATTAGAAATAAAATATATCTATATGTATATTTTTTGTAAAAATTTTAGCTTACGTTATAAAAACATTGAAACATCCAAATTAAAAGAAGGAATATAGTAATTTTTAAATATAAAGTTAACGTTTTCATATTAATATATTTATAGAATAATATTGAAGTGGAAGTTGTTAATTCAAGTGTAAAATTGTTTCAATTTTCAATAACACTAAATTATGGATTTGTAATATTTATTTAGATATTAATATAACTTATATTATTTTCTTATATTTTTAAAGTAGAAAATTATTTTCATATATGAAATGTAATTTCTAATTTTTTATTATTACACATGATATTATGGTTACTTTAGATAGGAATAATATTTTTAAATCTTTAAAAAATAAAATAAGAATTTTAATTTACAAATAAATAAATAATATAATAAATCGGATAAGGTTATTTTAAAAATATTTTATTTAGATTTAATTTATCTTTAAATTATGAGAAAAAATTAAATATTTTTATTTTAAAGCACATAAAAATTATAAATGATATACATTTAATGTTAAAGGATTTTTTTAATTTTTTTTTTCTAAATTACCAATCTTTGTAAATTATGTGAAACTTTAAATTATTTTATATACGGTATATTAAGATTTATAAATATAAATCTTCGTATATTATAAAGATATATCTCTATGATACAAAAAAAAAAAAACTATATAAATTAAAAATTATTATACGCATGTATTTTTCATGCAGTATACTAGATTTGTTACAATTTTTCACTTAATATAAAACTAATTTTTGTTTGTGTATATTTTTCTCTTATATATAACTTTTTTGATTTTTCTAATATACTTTTTTATAACTTAATTTTTTTTTTTATTTTTGTTATTGAAAAATATTTATACAATGTATGTATATATTTATTTTTTGTTATAACTATATTTTAAAAAAAATTACTTTTTCAACTTTTGAAAAAAAATAAAAAAAATTTATAAAATACTTAAACTCAAAAGAAAAATTGAAAATAGGTATTTACATTGAATAAATTATAATAATAAATCTTATAAAAATCACATTTAAAAGTCAAATAAATTAATTACAATTTAAGAAAAAAAAAAAAAATACTATTTTTTTAATCATATATTTACAGTAAAAGATATTTTTTAAGAAAAGTTTTATTTTTTGACAAATTTACTTAATTTATTCTAAAAATACATTTCTAAGAATTTACTTTTTTACGAGTAATACTTATCCTATTCAAATTTAATATAAATTTTATTTACTGAGTATAAAAATATATGTTTAGTTAAATATAATAGATTTTTTCTTATAAAATTCAAGAGAATGCATTTTTATTTTGATAAATAAAATATCAATAAATAAAGATAAAACAATTAAAAAATAACTTTTTGCATATATATTATTATAATCCTCTAAATAAATATAAAAAAAAATTATTTTTTTTTTTTTTTTTTTTTTTCGCCTTTATATAATTATTTGATAATTTGATTGTTATTACGATGTGCTTATTTTCTTTTTTATTTTTGGTTTTATATATATATAGCATAATTTTTTTTTTTTCATTTTACTTATGAAGTTTAGGTAACTCATTTATGTAGTATTGATTTATTAACTGGGTGTTCGGTGACTTAGCTAGAGAATTGTACAAACAAATTAATAGTGAGCATGTAGAGTTTTCTCTACGATTTTGATGTATTTATATATATTTTTATATGCTTTGAACAAGTGATCCCTATTTATATTATCTACTTCTTTCAGCATTCTTTGATTCCAATAGGCATTTATTTACTTTAATAAATATCTTTATTTTTATTAAAATTTTAAATCTTTATTGAATGCTGATTATTAATTAAATGTAAATTATTTATGTCTTCATTATGAGTTATGTTCAGCAATTTAACCATATTGCTGTTGAATTAACAAACATTAACAATTAGTATAAATGCAATTTAATTATATGAATATTAATTACGTGAATATTTTATGGTAATATGCATAAAATTTTCTCTCACAAATTAAAAATATAAATATTATGCAAATTGAACTCTTTTATATGTAAATATCTTTTACCTGTTTAAAATCTCATTTTTATTGTTACTAAATCTTACTCCCGATTTTTATTTTACCAATTTTCTCTCTTTCATTAAATCTTTTTAAAAAAAATAAATATATATTTTCTTTTTTTTGTGCGTGATCAATTACATATTCTTCATATACCTAGTCCTTTTTATTACCAAAAAGGTTAATGAAACCTATTATTAGAAAGCATAAATGAATTCAACAGTTGTCCCTTCTTAATATAACTTTTTTCTTAAAAGGTTAAATTTTATAAGACATCTTTGCAAATATTATAGGAGAATTTTAATAAGAATTTTTATTTTTTAAATTTTATTTGTTACAATCTTTGGCGTGTTATTAATAAAAAGTAGTGTGTATAAGTACTATCATTTTTAATATTTTAATACTAATTTTTCTCTAAAAAATAATCATAAATTTAATAAAAGTATGTTTTTTATGATTTATATTTTTTTAATATTATATGTAGAAATTGTTATTACAAGTAAATATATTTAAAATATAAAAGTATCTTACATTTAACATAGATATTACATAATATTATAATAATTTGAATAGTGTGAATATTGGAGATATAGAACCATAAATTATCCAAATAACAATTCATGAAGTATTAGAATGATTATAATTATTATAAATAAGATAATATTCCTAAGGAAAAGAAATTATTTATAGCTCTGCTTTATTAATGGCTGTTAAATTGCTTATCTCGTGTCAAAAAAATAAATTAATAAGGAAAATGTAGTGTAAACTCTACTTAATTTTAATATAAAATTTTTATTTTTATTAATAAACATTAAATATAACTTATTAGTTAATTATTTTTTTTTTAAATATAAGCAACACTCCTAAATGTAATTTCCTTAATATTACCTTTTAGCTTAAAATAAAAATATACATTCTATAGTAGTCTGCACATTATCCTTCAAAAAAAAAAAAAAAAAAAAAAACTAATTTTTTTTTGTAATAAAAAAAAATATTATCATAATATATATTATTTTTTAATTGTAAATACCCACACAAAAAAAAAATTATTATTTATTTATTTTTTCTTAAGTGCACTCACTTTAAGTGCAAGTATGTATATACATATGTTTTTTGTTTACATGCTTTTTGAATAACTATTTTAGAGAAGACATTTATGATATCAGGTTGTCCTTGCGAATTAGCATGCACAAACTAAAATGTTTTTATTCTATTTATTCGTCTAAAATTATACAAAAAGATGAATAGTATTGTTTATACAGAATTGTATTAACCAATTATTTATTAACTGGATGTTCGGTGACTTTGTGGTTAATAAAAGGCTTTATTAATCTTTTTGGAAAATAATAGGACTAGTTAAATAATGAATATGAAGTTGGTCATGCACACATGCAGAAAAAATATTCATTATCAATTTTTTTTTGTTTTTTACCTTTTTTTTTTTTAAAAGAAAAGTACAAAACGGTCAGAAAAAATTTGATAAAAAAAAAAAAAAAAAATTAATTGGAAAAAGATTTGTTATCAATAAATAAACGAAAAAAAAAAAAAAAAAAATTTTTTTTGAGGGAAGGAAATATGTTTTTGTGATGAATTTTGTAAAAGAAAATTTTATACATATAACAATAAAATTTTCATGTAATTAATATTTATATAATTTTTTGTATTTGTCAATAATTGTTTATGTTTGTTAATTCAACGGCAATACATATTAATTGCTGATTGTCACTCATAACAAATAAACTAGTAATTTACAATTAATTAATAATTAATGTTCAATAAGGATTTAAATTTTTAATAAAAATAAGGATTTTTATTAAAGTAAATAAATGCCTATTGAAATCAAAGAAAGCTGAACTAAGTAGAGCATATAATTAAGAATCGCTCGTTCAGAGAATATAAAAGTATATATAAATACACGAAAATCGTAAAGGTAACTCTTCATGCTCTTTAATAATTGTTTGTTCAATACTCTAGCAAAGTCACCGAACACCCACTTAATAAAACAATACTCTAACAAAGTCATTGAAGAGACAACTAATATATCAAAATATAATATTGTTTAGGTTAACAACAATAATAAATAACTAATGCAATTAACATTTGATATTAATTAATAAAAGTGAATAATTTGATTTATATTTTAATTTAATAAAAATAAAATAAGTGAAGCTTTCTCTGGATTCTGTCTACTGATTTGTTTGTTAAATATTAGTAAAATCGTTAAATAGGTAATAAACAATGCATTATCCAAAAAAAATAAAAAAAATAATTATATTTTTTTTTTTCCTGTACTTTTAGCATATAGATTTAAATATGCATATATTTCTTTCATATTTAGCACGTACACATAAAAATATATATTCTTTTTTTATTCAAATATCATTTATAGGACATGTGTAAATTATATGTATAAAGTTTACTTATAGCAGATATATATTTCCACAATAATTAAAATTAATATAAATCACTCACACGTTCTTTATTAATCTAGCAAAAAATTTTAATTCACAATAAATAGAACAGTAATAGACTTATAACTAGTTATAAAGAACATTATTGACTTTTTGAATTTTCACGTGATAGTAATGGTCGATTTATTACCATTTTCTAATGCATATATTACATTTAAAAAAATGAGTGAGAAAAGAAATACATAAAAATAAATATATACTAAGATATGCATAAAAAATTCATATAAAAAAAAAATTAAAATAATATTTTATTTTTTAGATGTAAATTTTATTGTGTTTATATACATACATAAATGAATGAATAAAAATTAGTATGTGTCTTTTACTTATAATTTTAGAAAAAATATCGTTTTTAAGTTTCTAAGAACGTATAATAGTTTTTATAAAATATATATATATATATATTTATGATTATAAACGTTTAATATATTGAACTTAGTTAAATTCTAATTTTAACATTTATTCTAGGATTTTATTTATATAGAAAATAAATTCTTTAATTTTTACTCTAAAGAGTATTTGTATAAAAAATATATATTATCTATAATGAATGATTTTATAGTAAGAAAACATATATAAATTTATCTATATGATGCTTGTTAAATGAACTGTTTAATATACTAAGAGTATTTGAATTGTCAATTAATAAATCAAGTGTATAATTATTTACAGTAAGTTATATTATAATAAATGTACCCGGAAAAATATATATCTACCTTCTATTTATTAATTTGATTATTTTGAAATACTATATAAGGATTTTAATGTACAGTCAATAGACCTACAACTAATTCAATTATTTTAATAAAATACTGTACAAAAATATTTATTTAAAATAAGTGGAGAATTACTTATTACTCATAACGAATATAATTATTATCCTAAGAAGCAATGTCTAAAGGTAAGTATTTAAAATTAATTTTAAAATATCTATGCTTTTAAAAATAGAGTATACAAAGCATATTATAAACATTTTATACAAATGTAAACATAAAAATTTTAATAAATATAATTTTTCAAATATTATTTTTAATTTTAATTCACAATACTTTTATCTATTTTCTTAGGTATGGATTAATAAAATATATTGATGTTATTTATTTATAAAATAATAATATATTATGTAGATAATAACAAGTTAGCTATCCATACTTCTTGAGTAAAAAGATATCTGATAAAAAAAAGCTCTTTTTTTGTTATAAATTTTTTTTGTTAATTACATAATATTTTAATTTAAAAAAAAAAGAAAGGATTTCTTTTTGGTTAATGAAATACTTTTTTTTGAGATTAGTTAAATTTTGTCAATAGAATTAATTTTTAAAACTATTAAAAATTACATTTAAAATTTAAAAGAAAAAAAAAGAATATATTTTATATTAATATTTAATTTTTATGCATTTTGAAAAGACTTTTAATGACTATAAATTGAATTTACTATTTTACTTTAAGGTATTTTATATTTAATCATTAGTTTAAATTGTGATTTAAATTTTTAATAAAGATAAATTTTCATTAAAGTAAATAAATACCTATAATAAAATAAATGCCTAGTTATGTAAACATAGTATATAAAGTATACTCACTTAAAGCACAAATAAATTTTTTTTACATTTATTAAAATCAATGGAGACTATTCTATACTTTCTTTATTTGTTTTCTGAATAATACTACAGCAAAGCTATTGAAAAGGAAAACAATAAATTACATATTAAAAAAGGTTAAAATTCTTTTTTTTGAATAAATTATATAAAACTAGAATACAAAGGACTATAAATTTTTTTTCTATTTTCTTTTTATTAGTTATTGATAAAATTAGTTGTTACCTTATTTTAATGCACAAATTTCTTGTATTAATTAAAATAAAGTAATAATACAATACATATAATGCATTCAAAAATATGAATTAAATATTTATCTAAAATTATATTTATCGAGATAAAAGTATTTATGAAAACACATATTTTTTTTGTATAATATTGCTTTTCATTTATATATTTTAATTTTTTTTAATTGTTATTTGTCTAATAAATTAATTATTTATTTATTGGCAAATTATGTTTAAATATAATGAAGAATTGATTTATTAATTTTCTTTTCTGGTATTTAACGAACAAATTAATAAAGAGCATGTAGAGAAAACTCTATTTGTTTTGTTTTATTTAAAATAGAATGTTAAGTAAATTACATGAATTTGTCATTTAATATTAAATATTAATTACAATAGTTACTATTTTAGTTAATTTACGAAATTCTTTAGGTCTATCATATTTAACATTAAATTTTTAATATTTCATAAAAAAAATACTTTATATTATCATATTCCTTTTGAAAAAAAAAAAAAAAATTAATATCAAAAAAATATAATGAAGTAAAATAAAATATATCTACATTTTTTTTTTTTTACTGTAATTATCCTAAAAGTATTTTTATTTTAGTACATATTTTGTGTATCCATTTTCTTTTTTCATATATACATATAAAAATATTTTTATTCATTTTATTTAAATAAATATAATTAAGAATGTATCGATAATATTATTTATAGTCCAATAGCATAAATATTGGAACATGATATTATATGAGAAATGTTATTCTTCCAAATGATATGAAATATTTATGTTTATTATTTTTACTCACAATATTATATCGTCTAAGATTATAATAAGTATAAATTTATTTTAAATTAATGAATTCCCAATAAAAATATAAAAATTCCAGTTTAATAAATTTATTATTATAGCCGTTTGTTGTTTATGTCTTTATTAAATATCTAAAGATAATATTCTAGAATTTTTTGAGTTTTTTGTGCATTTTATAATTTTTTTTTTTTTTGTGAGAAGTAATTGAAAAAGGAAATTTTTTTAAAAAATATTTATGTATATATANTTAAAAAGGTAGTATTTATGCATATACTTTTTTATTTATGTTATATCAAAGATTCATACAAATTAAATTAAAAAAAAAAAATTCTTCATAAAATTCTTGGACAAATCATACTGGGACCGAAACTGTACATTACATTGTAAGAAATAATAAACAAAATATATGTGCTAATACTACATACATATTAATGAAAATAGCAAATATTTCATTTAAATTTCCACAAAATTTTTATATCTCTGTGATTTTCTCATTAATATTTTTCATATATTTATGTTTTCATTTTTCCTACATAAGAGATACATTTTTCCATATGAATTTATTAAATCTTATATATTCTAATTTATCTCCTTTGAAATTTTTTTTTTCTTTTACTTTTTTCATTGTTCTTGCTCATTATTTACGTTTGATGTAAGACTCTTTTGTTCTGAATTACCATTGTTGTTATCGAATCTTTCTCTTTTTAATCTCCTCAAACCACGATAGCAACCTAGAAAAAGATGCTGCAATATAAAATAACAGTTATTTAAAAAGACATTTTCCCTAATATATAGAGAAATTTAATTTAAGTAAAAATAAAAAATCTAAATAAAAAAGTTACTCACATTTTAAATAAATAAATTTCAACTTACCCTTATGGCGAAGAAAAGTAAAGCAGAACAGAAAGCAATACCGCATGAAAAAGATTCTATATAATCCCTTGCCCCGTTATTTCGAATGTATACTCCTTTTTCTGGTGAATTGTTACTAATAACATTTTGTTGTATAGGTATTTCATTATTATTTGGAGTACACAAATTAGTAAAATTAACTGCACAATTATCTTGATCATTTAAATGTATTGTAACATAAGAATTTTTGTTATGTTCGTCACCTAAAGTGGAAAATGGATTATGATTTTTTTCAGGTTCCATTTATAATTACTGTATTTTTACAAGGCAAAATAACTTATTTTTATTATAAAGAATAATTTAAAGAGTTTTAGTTCGTTCCTCTAAAGATTAGTATGTATAATTTAAAAAATAAAAAATGGAGGAAAATATATTAATTATGAAAAAAAGGCTATAGATTAGAAGTAGTAATAAATTAGGAAAGAAAAAAAAATTTTAATTTTTAACCTCCAACCCTTTAGATCTTTTTTAAACAAATAACTAAACTGTAACAAATTTATAATCAATTTTCTATAAATGTAAATCGTTACTAAATTCGTTAATTAAATATTAAAGAAAACAGAAAATTTTTTTTTTTCTTTATTCCTAAAAAAAATAATTTAAAAAGAAAATTATATTTTTATATCAATAGTCAATAAAATTTTATTAATCTTTTTAAGAATCAAAATTAGATATGTCACGTAACATAATAAATAACCTATTCATTTAAAATATATAAGCAAATATATTAACTAGTCAAAATTATTGTAGAGTATTTATAAAAATTAAAATAAAGGCTTAATTTTTTTTTTTCATTGATGCTATACATTCGTTTATATTTATATTTTAATTTTAATTTTTTATTTTTTGTTAAGAGTGATTCATGTTAAATAAAAATATAAATTTTCTTTTTATTTTTAAATGAATTTCAATTATTATTATTTTTATGAGAATTTATTTTTTTTATGTGGCAATATAAATTAATAGACAAAAAAAATATTTTATGTGTTATTAAAGGATTTTATAACATGAATATAAGTTTTAATAAAAATAAAGTATTTGGTTAAATTGGATAAATGAGTCTTATAAAGTAAGTATATGTTATATATAGTTAAAATATTAACATATTTTTATTTAAATAATTATAAATATTATATGAAATAAAACTATTTGTTGCATGTTATGTAAATCAATTATAAGTTTATTTATAACAAAAATATATTTATAATAAGCAAAATTACTTTAAATCATTTTATGCCATTCATTTTTCTACAAAAAATTTTATAAAGTTCTTTAAATAAACAATTAGCAAATTAACCATTGAATCCTTTTTAGATATTTTATGGCTTAATTCATTAATATGCAATATATGTGCAAATATATCTTATTTTTACATTAATATTCTTAAGATCCTTTAAAATGTTAGTAATCCTTAATTATTGATGCATATATATATATATATATATATTAGTGAAAAATTATAAAAATAAATATTTATGTTTAGCAAAATTTTTTATTAAACTTTTTATTTGTATATAGTTACTATAAAAAAAAAAAAAAAAATGAAAATCTCATTATATTATAAATTATAATAAGGGTAAATTAAAAAATTACTAAAAGCGTTGTATTGTATTTAAACTTAAGTACCCAAGAATTTTACCTATATTTTTTTAGTATATTTATTCAAGTTTATTTTATATGATGAATTTTTTTCTTTAGTTGCATTTTTTTTTTCATAACTTAAAGTGAATTGTTAATTATATTGGTATATTTAAAAGAAAAAAAATACTGTAATATTTTACTAAAGTTATTTTTTTTATGTTGTGTTAAATGTTCATTTTATATCCCTTTAATATTATATATTCAAGTATGTATAATTGTGATAATTAAAAAATTAAACTTAATCTCTGAATTTACTATATAAATGTTGATTTGTCATTTTAATGAGTTAATATATATTTTATGATAAAATGGAGTAAAAAAAGAAAATAACAAAATTCAAATTTATATTTGTAATAAAATGTTATTTATAATTTATGTTCTAAATTTTAAGTTTGACTTTAATCTTTTCATGGAAATATTTGTATTTTTTATTAATTAAAAATGATGAAAATCAAAAGCCCATTGAAAAGATATATTCTTTTAATTAATTACTTATATAATTATACACAAATTGTTAATCTGTTATACAACATGCAAAAAAATACTTCGTATACATTCATTTAAAAAATTATATATAATTATCTATTTACATTAAGTAAAATTTATATACATATAAACTTTTTGCGATTAAATATTTTCATTTCTGAATTTTTTTAAAAAAATATTTGTTTTAATAAATTATATATCATTTTAATTAATTAATATAGGTAACTAGAAGATTACAAAAGAAATTAACGTTATATCTAAGATAAGAAAAAATATTTTTAAATAATAATTCAATTTATTTTTTTTCATTTTTTATTTATATTGAGAGAGTAAAAAAAAAAAAGAAAATTATAATAATTATTAATATTAAAATAACATCGATGTTATAACGCTGTTATATATTACTGTTATATGTTCAAGGAGTGATAATAAATATTCATAGTATTTTCATACGTATAATTGAATAAAAATTTTCATGTTACTAAAAAGTATTTATTATGTATGATCATTTCTCGTATATATATTTTTCCTTTTCTAATAGAAGAAAATATTATTTTTTATTTATTCTTTTATAATAAATATAACAAGAATACTATAATTTTTTTTTTATTAACTTCTTTCTTTTTTTTTATTATAATTATACGAATAGATTATTAGAAACAATATATTTTTAATTAGATTTACTATTAATTATATGTCATTATATATATATATGTATATATTATACTTTTATTACTATTATATTTTTTTTTTAAATTGCTCATATTAATTATTTATTTTTTTTTTATATTTATTATTCGTATTGCAATCATTAAGATTTAACATATAATAACTATAAATATTTTCATTCATTTATTGGAGCATTATCACTTTTTCTATATACTAATATAGAAAATTTTTCAATTTTGAAATAAAATAAAATTTTTAATCATAATTAAATATATGTAATACCTTGTAATTTCATATTATCTCTAATTTGAAATTAAAATTGCTATTACGCTTTTATCAATAAATGTACTATAAAATATATGATTTATAAATTTTTTTTTAAAATTAGAATCTTCTTTTTTTTAAAGTTATTATAAAAGCATGTATTGTAATTACATTCATTTTTATTTACATTTTGAATTTCTGTTCTTTTTTTTTATTAAGTATTTATGTATTATGTAATAAATTAATCATAAAAAAATATGTTGTTCTTATGCTTATATTTATATCATTTTTACTCTTTTATTTAATTTTTGTACTCACTTTATTATAAAATAATTACCTATTTATAAAAAGAATTTATGCATGTAAAAATTAATTTCAATTTTCTTATATGCTCTTTAGGCATCGTATTTTGTATTGTTATATAATTATGATCAAAAATAATATTTTAATTAATAATATAAAGAATAAAAAAAAAAACTCCATTTTTTTGTATCCAAAATTTATTCATAACTACGATTGAAAATCAATTGATGTTATTGCAACAATTATAATTTATGATTATTTGATTATTCTGTATTTTATTTTATTTTATTTTGCTTTGTTTTTTTCTTTTTTAGTTATTATATTAATGTTAAATAACTGCAGCTTTATGTTTCTCATTGTAATTTATAACCACTAACATTTGTAGTGTCATGAAATTTTTCTTAATATTTTTTTAATTATATCCTTTTTCTCTTAAAGAAGAATGAAGATTTTTCAAAAATATATTCTTTTCACTTAAAAGAAATTGTTAAAGAAAATTTTTAATTAATGATATTAAATATATAATGTTCATTTACATTATTTTATGAATTATATTTCATTTATGTCAATACAAAAAAATTTCATAAAATTTGAAAATTAAATTTTTTATAGCATATCTAAAATATGTTTTCACGTTTAATACTTACTATTTCTTCTTAATCATTTAAAATTTTGATTACTTAATTTTATTTTTTGAAAAACTAATATTAGTTATAATAAAAAGTATATGAAACTATATAAGAGAAATATAATAAAAAAAAGTAACAAATAAAAATTAATTTTTATTAAAAAAAATTTTTTTAAGTAGGAAAAAACAAAAAATGAACAAAAGAAATAATATTATCTACAATATCATAGAATATCCTTAAAATATTATCAATCAAAAAATTTATAAATACTTAATATACACTTACTTTCAAATTATATAAAAAGAGAAAAAAATGAATTCATTATTTTTTTTTATAAAATATTTAATGTTTGCATTTTTAATTTTGATATTGCAATATTCTAACAATGTAAGATAATAATAAAATTCTTAAATTATATCTTTTTATTATTTTATATAATTTTCTTTTTAATAAATTTTTATTGATATAAAAAAAAAATTTTTATATATGTTAAATATTTATTTCATTCTTAGAGTTTTTTCGAATCTTGGAACATTAGAAATAACTCAGAAGGAGCTTTTCGTTTAAAGACTAAAAGAACACTATCAGAAAATATACTTAAAAAGTCAAAAAGTGAATCCACAGAAAATCTATTAGATGCATACGAAAAAGAAGAAATAAATAATAAACAAGATGAAATGGAGAAAGATCTTATAAAATCAAAGGCACAGAAATCAAATTTTCATTCACATATTATACGAAAACCTTCAGAAACTAAAGTAGAGATATCAAACGAAAATAATGTTAATAAACAAAAAGTAACAAAATGTAAAGATAAATTCATTAGTACTTTCTTTTTTTCTCTTGTTTTCTTGTCCTTACCACTCTATTTGGTTTATTTAAGTCATATGGAATACTTTTTTAATTCTAAAGATCATAGTGAAATATATCATTTTCTAATGAGTCATTGTATTCTAATAATTTCATGTATTTTATGTTTACACTTGCGTAGGGTAGTATAATATCTATAACACTTTTAATGATTACACATTTGATAAAAACAAGGGGAAAAAAAAAAAAAAAAAATAATAAATGAATTTTAAACATTGATGAAATCTTAAATTCTACAGTAGATTTAAAAATAATATTTAAAAAACTTCTTATGTAATTTTTTTTTTGCAAGAAGATACCTAAGATTATTTTATTCAAATGTAAAAAAAATTATACCCTCTTTTTTTTATAAAATATGGAAAATATTCTCTATTATTTTATATCTTCATTGAAATACATTATTCTTTTTGTATATATGTGTGTTTTTTCTTATAAATAGATTTAAATTAATATTGTATAGTTAGGATTGGAGTCATATTTTTTTAAAAAATTTACATTCATTTTTATGTCCACTCTTTAATAAACTGATTGTTAGTTTTTATGCTTTTAATACATTCTTAAGAAGTATAATAAAAGACAAAAATATATTATGTATGACATTTATATGAACATATTTATATCGACATGTATTATAAAATTATTTATTAGTAAGTTTAATAATGAATTTATATTTAAAAAAAAATTAAATTTTTCTTTAATTCAATCATATATCTGTATATGATGAGAATTTTAGTATAAGCAAAAAATATTTTAACTTTAAAAAAAAAGATATAAAATCTTTCAGATATACTATTTAATAATTTTATTTTTAAGAGTTAAAAAATTACCTTTATCTAAAAGTTATTATTCAGTAATATTTTTGTTCACTAATAATAATAATAAAATATATATATATTTTTTTTTTTTTCTTAAGAAGACTATGTAATTGGTTAATAAATATGTGTTCTAAGCATTTTACATGTTGATCCACTTTAAAATGTTAAATACTTTTTATTTGCAAAGATAAAAAACATACAAAATGAAGTTATACATATTTTAGATCAGAACACATGCAAACTGAAACATTCTAGTTTTTCGAGTTTATAAAGTTAGTATCCACATTTTTTTATATCTACACTCATTTATATCTCACAAAAAGAAATAATTTTCTTTAAAGAAAAAAAATATATCCTGAAATAAAAATGCAAATAAATTATTACATAAATACTACTTGAGATAATTGAAATGCCAAAGACAATGTTTTTAATAACGTTATTCCTCTTATTTTACATAAAATATTTGTTGTCTATTATGTAAGCATCACATGTTAAATCTTATGTGCATTAAGATAATTAAACATTCAAATATTTATATTTTTTATTTTTTATAAAATTATTATGTACTATGACAAAATTAGTAAATATTACTTTGTATAACGTTTATCAAATTATTTTATCAAAATTCTTACAAAAGTGTCGAAAAGAAAAATTGATGAATTATTGAATAAAAGATGTATATAATTTATATAATTTATTTATTAATTAGCTATCCAAATACGTTTATATTATTTAAGTAGTCAAACCTGTAGAGGGTATGTGATGAAATTTTTATATATTTTATTTATTATAATATCACTTATAGGTAATTATATACTTCATATATTTTATGCTATATAATATAAAATAAATAATTTATTTATTTCATATTTAAAATCTTGTAATTATCGTTATCATAAATAAATATTAAAAAATTTCATTATATTAAAAACATACTATTGTATTTATATATTCTTTATCAATTTATTATTTACTTAAAATTTAATATTACTTATGACCATGTGTCATGTAATAATCATACGCCCAAAAAAAAAAAAATATATATATGTAATTATTTTATTTTTTTTTTTTATACATGCTATTAATTTTCTTTTTAGTATTTGCCTTTATATGTGTTTCATTATGCGCACTTTAATGTACATACTTTCTTAAATACATTATATGTACATTTACATCCCAAAAGGTAATATATATCATCTTAAAGTTTAAAATTTCATTAGATTTATTGACAATTTTGTATTTTCTCAAGAATGTATTGTCTGATTTTTTATATATTATGGTAATTCACATGAAATAATATCAATGTAATATTTTTATTTTTAACCACTGATTTTTGCTTAATTATATTTAAATTCCAATTTCCCTTTTTTATCTTATATAAATTATTCTCACATACATTTTAGTTCGATATAAAAATTTAAAAAAAATGATTATATACTACTAATTCTTAACATAGAAAAACATAATTTTTTTTATATATCATCATGTTATGTTCTATAATAAATCATTTTTGTGTTTTGTATTATTCTTTTAGAGGTTAAACCATTTCCTCAAATGGAGATTTAGTCATGTAATATGAACTTTTATAAGAACATCTATTAATACAACTTCCTTTCAATTAATATTTAATATGATTCTACATTATTCATAGTATTTCAATAATTGACTTATTAATTTCCTGTTGATTTATTAATTGGGTGTTCGATCACTTTGCTAGAGTATTGAACAAACAAATTAATAAAGAGCTTGTAAAGTTGCCTCTACGATTTTTGTATTTTTATATATATTTTTATTTGCTTTGAACGAGTGAACTTTAATTATAATCTACTTCGTTCAGCATTCTTTTATTTCAATAGGCATTTATTTACTTTAATAAAAATCCTTATTTTTATTAAAAATTTAAATACTTATTTAACATTAATTATTAATTAATTATAATAACTAGTTTATTTGTTATGAGTTATATTCAGCAATTATTTTATATTGCTGTTGAATTAACAAACATAAACAATTATTAAAAAAAACAAAAAAAATTATATAAATATTAATTACATGAAAATTTTATTGTTATATGTATAATATTTTCTTTTACAAAATTCATCATCAAAATATTTCATTTAATTCCTCCATTCCCCCAAAAAAAAAAAAATCTTTTTTTTTTTTATCTTATTTTTTTTTTTATTTTGAAAAATAGATTTTTTTTTAATCAATTTTTTTCCTAACTATTTTTACATTTTTTCTTATCAAATATTTTTTTCCTGACAATCTTTGTACTTTCTTTTTAAAAAGTACAAACAAAAAAAAAAAATCATCAATTTTTTTTTATTTTTGTGTGTGTGTGCATGACCAACTTCGTATACTTCATTTAATTAGTCCTTTTATTTTCCAAAAAGGTTAATGAAGCCTTTTATTAACCACTTAACGGTCTTTGCATTTTTTTTTTTTATCAAATTTTTTCTGACCGTCTTTGTACTTTTTTTTTAAAAAAAAAAAAAGGTACAAACAAAAAAAAATTGATCATCAATATTTTTTCTGCATATGCGTATGACCAACTTCATATTCATTATTTAATTAGTCCTTTTATTTTCCAAAAAGATTAATAAAGCCTTTTATTAACCACAAAGTCACCGAACACCCAGTTAATAAATCATTTGGTTAATACAATGCTCTATAAACAATACTATTGATCCTTTTGTATAATTATAGACGAATAAATAGAATAAAATCATTTTAGTTTGTGCATGCTAATTCGCAAGGACAACCTGATATCATAAATGTCTTCTCTAAAATTGTTATTCAAAAAGCATGTAAACAAAAAACATATGTATATACATACATGTACTTCAAGTGAGTGCACTTAAAAAGAAATAAATAAATAATAATATTTTTTTTGTGTGAGTATTTATAATTAAAAAAAAATATATATTATGATGACATTTTTTTTTATTACAAAAAAAAATTAGTTTTTTTTTTTTTTTTTGAAGGATAATGTGCAGACTACTATAGAATGTATATTTTTAATTTAAGCTAAAAGATAATATTAAGGAAATTACATTTAGTAGTGTTGCTTATATTTAAAAAAAAAATAATTAACTAATAAGTTATATTTAATGTTTAATAATAAAAATAAAAATTTTATATTAAAATTAAGTAGAGTTTACACTATATATTCATTATTAATTTATTTGTTTGACACTAGAATAGTAATTAAAAAGCCATTAATATATCAGAGCTATAAATAATTTCTTTTCCTTAGAAATATTATCCTATTTATAATAAATATAATCATTCTAATACATCATGAATTGTCATTTGTATAATTAATGTTTCTATATCTCAAATACACAAACTATTCAAATTATTTAAATATCATGTAATATCTATGTTAAATGTAAGACACTTTTATATTTTACATATTTTTACTAGTAAGAACAACTTCTACATATAATATTAAAAAAATATAAATCATAAAAAACATACTTTTATTAAATTTATGATTATTTTTTAGAGAAAAATTAGTATTAAAATATTAAAAATGATAGTACTTATACGAACCACTTTTTAATAATAATAAGTCAAAGATTCTAACAAATTAAATTTAAAAAACAAAAATTCATATTAAAAATCTGCATTAATATTTACAAAGATATCTTATAAAATTTAAACATTTAAGAAAAAAGTTATATTAGGAAGGGACAATGGTTTAATTCATTTATGCTTTTTAATAAAAGGCTTCATTAACCTTTTTGGTAATAAAAAGGATAGCTATATGAAGAATACGTAATTGGTCACGCACACAAAAAAGAAAATATATTTAATTTTTTTTAAAAGGATTTAATGAAAGAGAGAAAATTGGTAAAATAAAAATCGGGAGTAAGATTTAGTAATAATAAAAATGAGATCTTAAACCTATAAAAGATATTTAAATATAAAAGAGTTTAATTTGCATAATATTTATATTTTTTAATTTTTGAGAAAATATTTTATACTTATAATAATAAAATTTTCACGTAATTAATATTCATATAATTAATTTGCATTTTTACCAATTGCTAATGTTTGTTAATTCAACAGCAATATAGTTAAATTGTTGAACATAACTCATAACAAGGAAATGAATAATTTACATTTAATTAATAATCAACATTCAATATGGATTTAAAATTTTAATAAAAATAAGGATTTTTATTAAAGTAAATAAATGCCTATTGAAATCAAAGAATGCTGAACATAGTAGAGCAAATAATTAAGAATAACTCGCTCAAAGCATATAAAAATATATACAAATATATCAAAATCGTAGAGGAAACTCTACATGCTTCATCTTAATTTGTTTGTTCAGTACTCTATCAAAGTCACCGAATATCCAGTTAATAAATCAATACTATATAAATAAGTTACCTAAATTCTTTGGTAAGTAAAATGAAAAATAAAAAATTGCACTATAAATGTATAAAACCAAAAATAAAAAAGAAAATAAACACATCGTAATAATTATAAACACTTATCTAATAAATATATAAAGTCAAAAAAAAAAAAAAAAAAAAAAAAATTTTTCTTATATTTAATTAGAACATTATAATAATATATATTCAAAAAGTTATGTTATAATTCTGTTATATCATTTTTTATTGATAGTTTTTATATCACAATAAAAATTCTTTCTTTTGAATTTTATAAGAAAAAATCTATTATATTTAACTAAAGGTATACTTTTATATTCAGTGAATAACATTTATATTAAATTTGAAACTGATAAGTATTACTCGTAAAAAAGTAAATTAGTCAAAAAAAACAACTTTTTTAAAAAAATATTTTTTACTGTAAATATATGATTAAAAAAATAGTATTTTTTTTTTTTTTTTTTAAATTGTCATTAATTTATTTGACTTTAAATGTGCTTTTTATAAGATTTGTTATTATACTTTCTTTAAAGTAAATACCTATTTTCACTTTTTCTTTTGAATTTAAGTACTTAATAAGTTTTTTTTATTTTTTTTCAAATAGTTGAAAAAGTAATTAATTTTTAAGAAATAGTTATAAAAGAGAATAAATATGTATATATATATTGTATAAATATTCATCAATAACAAAAATTAAATAAAAAGAATTTAGATGAAAAAAAGTATATTATAAAAATAAAAAAGTTATATATAAAAGAAAAATATACATAAACAAAAATTAGTTTTATATTAAGTGAAAAATTGTGATAAATGTAGCATACTGCATGAAAAATACATGCTTATAAAAATTTTTAATTTATGGAGTTTTTTCTCTTTATTTAATGGAGATATATCTCTATAATATACGAACATTTATATTTATAAATCATAATATACCGTATTTAAAATAATTTAAAGTTCGAGATAATTCAAAAAGATTGGTAATTTAGAAAAAAAAAATTAAAAAAATCATTTAACATTAAATATATATCATTTATAATTTTTATGTGCATTAAATAAAAAATATTTAATTTTTTTACATAATTTAGATATAAGTAATATTTTAATTAAATATTTTTAAAATAAATTTATCCGATTTATTATATTTTTCATTTATTTGTAAATTAACATTCTTATCTTATTTTTTAAGGAATTAAGAATATTATTCCTATCTAAAGTAACCATAATATCATATGTAATAATAAAAAATTAGAAATTACATTTCATATATGAAAAAAATTTTCTATTTTAAAAATTTAAAAATTAATATAAGTTATAATAATATCTAAATTAATATTTGCAAATCCATAATTTAGTATTACTGAAAACTGAAACAGTTTTACATCTGAATTAACAACTTCCATTTCAGTATTATTATATAAATATATTAATATGAAAACGTTAACTTTATATTTAAAAATTACTACATTCCTTCTTTTAATTTGGATATATCTATGTTTTTATAACGTAAGTGAAAATTTTTACAAAAAATATACATATAGATATATTTTATTTCTAATTATTTTAAACATTCCATTTGATTTACTATTCTAACACAAGAATCATTCTTTCAATAAATTTTTATTTAATCCATAGTGTGATTCCTATAGAACATTGATTGACAAAAATATATTGCAAACAAAAAATGAGTTAAAACATGAAAGAGTATTAACAGAGGGTGACATAGAAGGAAAAAAGCAAACCTACGCTGAAGGATGCCAAGAAGAATATCCATTAGATAATGAAAAAAACAAATGTAAAAATCCAGTTCAATGCGAGAATCCGTGCGATCAATGGCATAATGTCATTATTCCATCATTGTGGGAGGACTTTGATAAAGAAACAAGTGAAATGGACCCTAAATTAAAAGAAAAAAAATGGAATGTTGAATGGAATCAAATTTCAGCTAAAAAAGTTAATGATCTGTCTTCAATATATAATCGACAAGATATTTCAGAAGAAGAAAAAAAAAAAAAAATTTATAGTGTTATGAAAGAACTTATCTCAGAATTTGTGAAATTTTTATACGAATGTAAGAAAGAGATGAGAAGCAATAGAACAGAATCGGAATCTAAGAAAGAGATGAGAGACAATAAAGCAGAATCAGAATGTAAGAAAGAAATCGAAGAAAATAAAACAGAATTGGAATCTATGAAAGAGATGAAAGAAAATAAAACAGAATCCGAATCTAAGAATGATATGAGAGACAATATAACAGAATTCGAAACTAAAAAAGAGATGATAGGCAATAAAACAGAAACCGAATCTAAGAATGAGCAGGGAATAAATAAAATAAAAAATAAGAAATAAAATATTTTGAAATTTCCTTTTAGTAAATTTGATAAGCATTAAGAGAATTAAAATTAATGTTTTAACAGGGAATATAGGATTATTCGTACGCAAGATCTAGTTAAAATAAAGAAAAATTAATATTTTATCTAAATTTTTGTTATAAAGATATATTTTATTTTTTAAAAAAAAAAAAAATAAAAGAGAAAAATTTTTTAGAAAGAAAAAATTTCATGAGAATATTTTTTAATTTTTAAGAATAAAATTTTTGTTAAGTGATATTAATATATTTAAAATTTTTTTTTTATTATTTAAGTATTTTTATTATTTTTAAAACAAGTGAACTTAAATTAGTGAAAATTACTTTAAAAAGCAATAAATATTTTGTACTTAAAAATTAACAATTAATGAGAATATATGTTTTTAATAAAAATACGTAATTTTTGTCCAAGTAAATTCACAATGAAACGCATTATTGAAGTTTACATGTTATATCATTAAAATTATATTTAAAATCCATTTAATTACTAGAGAAATCTCCATATTCTTTTTAATAATTTGTTTTTCATTACTCTAGAAAATTCATTGAATGATAATTTAATAAATTAAAAATATAAATTATAGATAATAAGTAAATCAGGTAGAAAATGTAGAGGATAAAATAGAAGAAAAAAAGTTGGATGCAAAATTATTACCAGCTTACCTACATGACAAAAAAAAGAAACAAAAAGGAAAAAAAAAAAAAGTCTTTATTGAGAATTATTAGAGTTAAAAATTTGTTAATAAAAAGAATTATTAACCTTTTTGAGAAAAAAATTAATAGCTGTAAGGAAAATAAATATACAAGAAAGTACTAGATAAATGAAAAATAAAAGAATCGAATAGCGTGAAAAAACTATTCAAGTTATTAAAAAATAGAAGAATACATGATAAGAAGTTTTTTCGTGGCAAATTTTTATCATTGAATTTTAAAGAGAAAATTTTATATTAACTATAATGAAATTTTCGTGTTTGTAGTATTGTATAACTTATTTCGGGTTTTGTTATTTATATATGCTAATTCGCGAGATGTGAATTTAAATTGTTAAACATTAATCATATCATTATAATTAAAATATATGTAATTTAAAACTATAATTAATAAAGATTTGAATTTTTAATAAAAATAGGGATTTTTATTAAAATAATTAAATGCCTCTTAAAAACAATAAATGCTTAATAAAGGATACCATATACATTTCAATGGTTTATAGAATTAAAAACAAATTTAAATTCATTTAAATTGTAGAAGAAACTCTACTTACTCGCTGTTAATCCTTTTTTTCAATACTCTAGCAATATAATGAATAGGAAATTAATAAATCATTAATTACATTTATTTTACTTATATTATGATTTATATTTAACAATTCAAATTTATTACTCTCAAATTAACTAGCATAAATAATTGATAAAATTCAAATTAAATTACGTCAGTACTTCAAAACACAAAAATTATATTATTTTTAATATAAAATTTTCTTATTAAAATTTAAATAAATGTACACTACAATAAGCTTTTTTAGTCAATAACTTTTTCATCTATTTTTAGACCACTAAATTCCTTTTAAAAAAAGTAAAAATTTATTTTTTTGTGTATTTAAATTACAAAAATAAAAAAAACATTAACTAATTTTTTTCTTTTTTTTTTACTTAACTATTGCATGTTCGTTAATAAAATGTATTATTTACTTTTTTGAAAATAAACGATAATAGTTGTCTTGAAATATATTGTTACACATGCAAATTCTAAATGCAAAAAAGAAAATTAAAAAATAATTGTTAATTACGTTATATTCTTTTTCAAATTTTTAAATACAAAAAAAAAAATACATTTACTTCTTTTTTGAAATGATTAATTTTTAAGTTGAAATATTTATTTATTTCTTATTAAATAACATTGCTAGAGTATTGAGAAATCATATTAATAAAGAGAAGATAGAATTTTCTCTACTAATTTAATGAATTTATGTTATGTTTTTATCTTATAAACCAGTAAACTGCTTTATATATATAGTCTTTTTAAATGAACATTTATTGTTTTTAAGAGGCAATTATTTACATTAATAAAAATACTAAATTTTTATTAAAAATTTAAAACCTTATTGATTATAGATATTAATTATATATATTTTATTTATAATGTTATGAGTAAGGTTTAACAGTTAAAATCCATTTTTCCAAAAATAACAAATATAACTAAGTAGTAGAATACGAAATAAAATACGAAATATTACTAACACGAAATTTTTATTATCATTGTTATAAAATTTTCTTACATAAATTTAAAACATAGTATACTTCAAGAAACTTTTTAGTTAACAACTCTTCTTTTCAATTTTTAATTCATTAAATCATTTGAAAAAATAAAAATATATTTTTTTATGTATTTTAAATTTACCATAAAGAAAAAAAAAAAAAATTAATAATTAATTTTTTTTTTTTTTTACTATCGCTTACATAACTATTTATTTTCCATACAGAAACTATTTCTTATTCTCAAAAAGTCTTATAATACGTTTTATTATCCAAATATAGAAGAAATAATTGTTGTCACGAAGATTCTTGAAGTATATTTGGTTTAAATATATATAATAAAATTTTAGTGTTTTGTATTATTTGTATAATTTATTTTTTTAATTATTTATGTTTATTAATTCGAGAGAAATGAATTTGAATTGCTAAATGTTAATTATAACATTTTAGATAAAATACACGCAATTTAAAACTAAAACAATGATTTTAATTTTTTATAAAAACATGGATTTTTATTAAAATAATTAAATAACTCTTAAAAACAATAAATGCTCAATGAGGGAGACCATATACATTTCGGTTTATTGTATTAAAAACAAATTTAAATTCATTCAATTGGTAAAGGAAACTCTACATGCTCTTTATTAATTTGTTTGTTCAGTACTCTAGCAAAGTCACCGAATACCCAGTTAATAAATCAATACCATAGATCCTTTAATTTAATAAGCAAATGTTTCACAAGTAGTAACTATTGAAAATAATTTTTTTTATATTGTACTCTATTTCCGCTGAATGTCACTAAGTTTTCTTGGCGTATAGTGAACATATTTAGCTTTACCTATATTGTTTATATTAGTTAATACATTGCTCTATAATAAATAATATTGACCTTTATTGCATAATATTTAGACGAACAAATAGAATAAAAACATTTTATTTTTTTCATGCTAATTCGCAAGGACAACATGATATCATAAATATCTTCTCTAAAATAATTATTCAAAAAGCATATAAACAAAAAAAATATGTATATACATACTTGCACTTAAAGTGAGTGCACTTAAAAAAAAATAAATAAATAATAATATTTTTTTTGTGTGAGTATTTACAATTAAAAAATAATATATATTATGATAATATATTTTTTATTACAAAAAAAAAATAGTTTTTTTTTCTTTTTTTATTTTGAAGGATAATGTGCAGACTACTATAGAATGTATATTTTTATTTAAGGTAAAGTGTAAAATTAAGGCAATTACATTTTAGAGTGTTGCTTATGTTAAAAAAAAAATAATTAACTAATAAGTCATATTTAATGTTTATTAATAAAAATAAAAAATTTATATTAAAATTAAGTAGAGTTTACACTACATTTTCCTTATTAATTTATTTGTTTAACACGAGAAAAATATTTTAACAGCCATTAATAAATCAGAGCTATAAATAATTCCTTTTCCTTAGGAATATTATCTTATTTATAATAATTATAATAATTTTAATACTTCATGAACTGTTATTTGGATAATTTAAGTTTTTATATCTCTAATACACACACTATTCAAATTATTTTAAAATCATGTAATATCTATGTTAAATGTAAGACACTTATATATTTTAAATATTTTTACTAGTAAGAACAACTTCTACATAAAATATTAAAAAAATATAAATCAGAAAAATATACTTTTATTGAATTTATGATTGTTCTTTAGAGAAAAATTAGTGTTAAAATATTAAAAATGATAGTATTTATACACACCATTTTTTATTAATAATACGTCAAAGAATCTAACAAATTAAATTTAAAAAATAAAAATTTATATTAAAATTCTCCATTAATATTTACAAAGATTTCATAAAAAAATTTAACCCTTTAAGAAAAAAGTTATATTAGAAAGGAACAATTGTTGAATTTATTTATACTATATAAATGAGTTACCTAAATTTTTTGGTAAGCAAAATGAAAAATAAAAAATTGTGCTATAATTGTATAAAACCAAAAATAAAAAAGAAAATAAACACATCGTAATAACAATCAAAGTTATCAATTAATTATATAAACGCAAAAAAAAAAAAAAAAAAAAAAAAATAATTTTTTTTTATATTTAATTAGATGATTATAATAATATATATGCAAAAGGTTATTTTATAATACTGTTTCATCTTTATTTATTAATATTTTTTATATCACAATAAAAATTCATTCTTTTTAATTTTATAAGAAAAAATCTATTATGTTTAACTAAAGATATATTTTTATATTCAGTAAATAACATTTATATTAAATTTGAAACTGATAAGAATTACTCGTAAAAAAGCAAATTTATAAAAATGTATTATTAGAATGAATTAAGTAAATTTGTGAAAAAATAAAACTTTTCATAAAAAAATTTTTTACTATAAATATATGATTAAAAAAATAGTATTTTTTTTTTTTTTTTTTTTTAAATTGTAATTAACTTATTTGACTTTTAAATGTGCTTTTTATAAGATTTGTTATTATAATTTCTTTAAAGTAAATACATATTTTCACTTTTTCTTTTGAGTTTAGGTACATAATAAATTTTCTTAATTCTTTTTCCAAATAATTGAAAAAGTAATTTTTTTCAAAAATTGGTTATTAAAAAAAATAAATACAAACATATATTGTATAATCATTTATAAATAATAAAAATAATAAAAAGAAGAATTACGAGAAAAAAAAGTATATTAGAAAAATCAAAATTGTTATATTTAAAAGAAAAATATACACAAACAAAAATTAATTTTATATTAAGTGAAAAATTTTGACAAATGCAGTATACTGCATGAAAAATACATGCGTATAATAATTTTTAATTTATAGAGTTTTTTTTTCTTTTTTTGATGGAGATATATCTCTATAATATACGAAGATTTATATTTATAAATCAAAATATACCGTATATAAAATAATTTAAAGTTCGAGATAATTCAAAAAGATTGGCAATTTAAAAAAAAAAATTAAAAAAAATCCTTTAACATTAAATGTATATCATTTATAATTTTTATGCGCATTAAATTAAAAATATTTAATTTTTTTACATAATTTAGAGATAAGTAATATTTTAATTAAATATTGTTAAAATAAATTTATCCTATATATTATATTTTTCATTTATTTGTAAATTAACATTCTTATCTTATTTTTTAAGGAATTAAGAATATTATTCCTATGTAAAGTAACCATAATATCATATGTAATAATAAAAAATTAGAATTTACATTTCATATATGAAAATAATTTTATATTTTAAAAATTTAAGAAATTAATATAAGTTATAATAATATCTAAATTAATATTACAAATTCCTAATTTGGTATTATTGAAAATTGAAACAATTTTATACCTGAATTAACAACATCCACTTCAATATTATTCTATAAATATTTTAATATGAAAATATTAACTTTATATTTAAAAATTACTACATTCCTTCTTTTAATTTGGATGTTTCAATGTTTTTATAACGTAAGCTAAAATTTTTACAAAAAATATACATATAGATATATATTTATTTCTAATTATTATTAAGATTTCATTTTATTTTCTATTCTAACTAAAGAAACATTCTTTTAAAAAATTTTTATTTAATCCATAGTGTTATTCTTATAAAACTTTGATTGATAAAAATATATCTCAAACAAAAAATGAGTTAAAATATGAAAGAGTATTAACAGAGGGTGACATAGCAGATGAGAAGCAAAATTACGCTGAAGGAAGCCTAGAGGAATGTGCATTAGATAGTAAAAAAAACAAATGTAATGTTCCAGATCTATGCGAAAATCCGCGCGATTATTGGAATAAAGTCATTACTCCACAATTGTGGGAGCAATTTAATCAGGAAACAAGTGGAATGGACCCTAAATTGAAAGAAGATAAATGGAATATTGAATGGAATAAAATTTCAGCTAAGAAAGTTAATGATCTATCTTCAATATTTAATCGAACTGATATTTCGAAAGAAGAAAAAAAAAACTTAATTTTTAGTGTTATGAATGAACTCAGCTCAGAATTTGTGAAATTTTTATACGAATGTAAGAAAGAGATGAGAGACAATAAAACAGGATCCGAATCTAAGAAGGAGATAAGAGAAAACAAAACAGAATCCGAATCTAAGAATGTGCAGGGAAAAAAAAAAATGAAAAATAATAAATCAAAAATTTTTGAATTTCTTTTTAAGAGGTTTGATAACCATTAAGAAAATAAAAATTAATGTTTTAACAGAGAATATAGGATTATTCATACGCAAGATTTAGTTTAAATAAAGAAAAATTAATATTTAGTCTATATTTTTTAATAGAGATATATTTTAGTTTTTAAAAAAAAAAAAAAATTAAATGAGAAAAATTTTTTAGAAAGAAAAAATTTCATGAGAATATTTTTTAATTTTTAAGAATAAAACTTTCATTAATGATATTAATATAATTAAATTTTTTTTTTTTATTAAGTATTTTTATTATTTTTCAAAGCAGTGAAATTAAATTACTGAAAATTACTTATAAAAAGCAATAAATATTTTCTATTTAAAAATTAATAATTAATGAGGATATATTTTTTTAATAAATATGCATAATTTTTATCAAATTAAATTCACAATGAACTGCATTATTGCAGTTTACTTGTTTATATCATTAAAATTAGATTTAAAATCCATTTAATTACTAGAGAAAACTCTATATTCTCTTTAATAATTTGTTTTTCATTACTCTAGCAAATTCATTGAATGATAATTTAATAAATTAAAAATGTAAATTATGGAAAGTAAATAAATCAGGTAGTAAATGTAGAGGATAAAATAGAAGAAAAAAGTTATATTCTGGTTTATTAACTGGATGTTAGGTTACTTTGCTAGAGTACTGAACAAACAAATTAATAAAGAGCATGTAGAGTTGCTTCTACGATTTTGATGTATTTATATATATTTTTATATGCTTTGAACGAGCGATTTTTAATTATATAATCTACTTCATTCAGCATTCTTTAATTTGAAGAAGCATTTATTTACATTAATAAAAATCCTTATTTTTATTAAAAATTTAAATCCTCATTGAACATTTATTATTAATTAAATGTAAATTATTTATTTCTTTGTCATGAGTTATGTTCAGCAATTTAAATTTATTGCTGTTGAATTAACAAACACAAACAATTAGTAATAATGCAAATTAATTATATGAATATTAATTACGGAAAATTTTATTGTCATACGTATAAAATATTCTCTTACAAATTAAAAATATAAATATTATGCAAATTAAACTCTTTTATGTAAATATTTTTTTATCTGTTTATGATCTCATTTTTATTGGTACTAAATCTTACTCTTAATTTTTATTTTACCAATCTTTTTCTTCTCATTTAAATCATTTAAAGAAAATAAATATATTTTTTTTTTTATGTATCTCTCTTTTTTTTTTAAAGAAAAATAAAAAAAAATTCATTATTATTTTTTCTTTTTTTTTGTGTGTGCCTGACCAACTACGTATTTTTCATATAGCTAGTTGTTTTTATTACCAAAATGGTTAATGATGCCTTTTATTAACCATACTCTACCACCATGGGAAAGTAATGGTTATTACTTAATGTTTGTTATTTTTGGCTTATTTTATTACATCAAGGCCTATTTGTACTCTTTTTTCAATTTGCTTGTCCTGATTATCGTTAATGTAATATGTTATAATGCTATTCTGTTTATGAGTATCTAGGTAATCTTTAGACTTTAAATTATTCGTCAGATTTAGTTTCCTTTTATTTTTATTCGTAGCTTCTATTAAATTCTCCACTTGGTTTTTATATATCTCCCTGGTTTTGTTACTTAACAATTTTATTTTTGACATTAGAATTTGTACTTCTTTACCTCCATAGTATATGGGTAATGTTTTTAAAATTCCGCTTTCAATTATAGTTACTCTGTGAGGAAATGACCAATAAGGTTCATATGGTACATTCCCACTATAGTGTTTCATTTGTTTCCTCTCGTATTCCGTTTATTCGTATGAGATAATATCTCCGACCTTAATATTTTTATTCTCAATTATAGGTTTTCTTTTGATTTAACATCTTCATGTATGTTTTTCCATTGATCCTTTAAGTATATGATCATCATTTCAGAAGTTGTTTCTGGTAATAATTTTGCAAACCACGGATAGATACAATCTATTCCAAACATAGCAAAATAGGGTGTTTCTCCTATCGCTCCATGAGGTGTATTATTATATATTAGTAGTGCATATTGTACTATTTTTTCAAAAGGTAGTTCTTTTTCTTCATATAAAGTCTTAATGATATAATCTAAGCTTTTATGAGAACTTTCATTTAAACAGTTTCCTTGCATATAATATGCGCTGGTATGATATAATTTAATCTGTAATTCTTTTGTAATATAGTCATTAAATTCTTGACTAGTATAAATTGAACCGTGATATGTTAAAATGCTTCTATGGAATTGTTTTATTAACTGGGTGTTCGGTGACTTTATTAGAGTAATGAACAAACAAATTAATAAGGAGAATGTAGAGGTGCCTATACGGTTTTGATGTATTTATATATATTTTTAAATGTTTTGAATGAGTGATCCTTAGTTACGTAATCTACTTCATTCATCATTCTTTAATTTCAATAGGCATTTATTTACTTTAATAACAATTTTTATTTTTATTAAAAATTTAAATCCTTATTGAACATTAATTATTAATTAATTGTAAATTACTAGTTTATTTGTTATGAGTTACATTCAGCAATTAATATATATTACTATTGAATTAACAAACATAAACAATTACTGACAAAAAATCAAAAATTATATAAATATTAATTACATGAAAATTTTATTGTTATATGTATAAAATTTTCTTTACAAAATTCATCACAAAAAATATATTTCATTTAATTCCTCCCTTCCAAAAAAAAAAAATTTCTTTTTTTTTTTTTTTTTTTTTATTTTTATTTATTAGTAACTTTTTTTTTATAATTGATTTTTTAATCAATTTTTTTCCTAATGATCTTTGAATTTTTTGTTTATCAAAATTTTTCCTGACAGTCTTTGTACCTTTTTTTTAAAAAGACAGTAAAAGCAAAAAAAAAATCATCAATTTTTTTTTTGTGTGTATGTGCATGACCAACTTCGTATTCTTCATTTAACTAATCCTTTTATTTTCCAAAAAGGTTAATAAAGACTTTTATTAACCAGTGATTTATTAACTGGGTGTTCGGAGACTTTGCTAGAATACTGAACAAACCAATTAATAAAGAGCATGTAGAGATGACTCTACGATTTTCTTATACTTATGTATATTTTTATATGCTTTGAACGAATGATCTTTAATCATAAACTACTTCGTTCAGCATTCTTTTGCTTCGATAAGTATTTATTTACTTTAATAAATAAATCCTTATTTTATTAAAAATTTAAACACTTATTTAACATTAACTATTAATTGATTATAATTATTAGTTTATTCATTATGAGTTATATTCAGCAATCATTTTATATTGCTATCGAATTAACAAAACACAAATACTTATTAAAAATGCAAATAAATTATATGCATATTAATTACATGAAAATTTTATCTTCATATGTATAAAATTTTCTCTCACAAATTCAAAATATAAATGTTATGCAAATTAAACGCTTTACAAAAATATCATTATCTTCTTGTAAAAAAAATATCTCTCTCTCTGATTTTTCTTCTCTTTAAAAAAAAAATTAAATCTTTTTTTTATTTTTTTTTTTTAGTTAGCACAACTAACTATGTATTCTCCACATAGCTAGTCCTTTTATAGCCAAAAAGGTTAATGAAGCTTTTTATTAACCAACCAGACATTCAAATATAGGTATCCATGTTTTCTTTATAATGTTACTTGCGTCCATATCATTAAATATTTTATTAGTTATATTAGTTACCATAAAACGTGAATGATGATCTACTGCTGCTTGTACGTGGTATTATGTGCCTTTCCATGTTTTAGGTCCTATAATATCTAATGAAACCATATCAAATACATTCGGCTTTGATAAAGCTTGATCATTGTTGGGTTTAAATTTCCTATTAAGCATTACTTGACAAATTAAGCAATTTGTAGTATATTCTTCAATATCTTTATTAATATTTGCCACCAAAAATGTTTTTGTATTTTCTTTAGTGTTTTATTTACTCCACATCCTGAGAATTTACTATTATGAAATCAATACATTAAATGATTTCTATATTTTTCTGACATATATAATCTTCCTGTTCTTTAGTGAAATGGGAAATCATCCTTCCATATTACTTCTCTTCGTATGTTATCTTTATCTTTTCTTGCTGCATTTTCTATTTCCTCGCAAGATGTTATAACGTATAAATCATCATATACCCCTTGAGGTTTACTACAATATATTGTCATATAATTAGGATGATCTGTTTCATCTTCTATTGATATAGTGATCCAATCAGCTAAACTATTTTGAACTCTTTCAATATGTTCAAATTTTAAGTTAAATTCAGATAGTCTTAACTTTCATCTATATAATTTTCCAGTATTAATTGAATCCATTCCAATAATACCTTAACATTCTGTTTTAATTAATGTCTTAGATCCTTTAATATAATAATCAAATGTTTCACATGATACTACTTAATCAAATAAAAGGCTTTATTAACCTTTTTGGTAATAAAAAGGACTAGCTATATGAAGAATACGCAGTTGGTTATGTACACACGGAAAAAAAAAAAAAAAAATTATTGAATTTTTTTTTATATTATACTTTTAATAAATGGAGATAGGTAAAAAAAAAATGTATTTATTTTTTTTAAAAGATTTAATAAAGGTGAGAGAAAATTGGTAAAATAAAAATCGGGAGTAAGATTTAGTACAAATAAAAATGAAATCATAAATCGATAAAAACATTTACACATAAAAGAGTTTAATTTGCATAATATTTATATTTTCAATTTGTGAGAGAAAATTTTATACATATGACAATAAAATTTTCACGTAATTAATATTCATATAATTAATTTGCATTTTTACTAATTGTTTATGTTTGTGATATATTAACTGGGTGTTTGGTGACTTTACTAGAGTACTGAACAAATAAATTAATATTGAGCATGTAGAGATGCCTCTACGATTTTGTTGTATTTATATATATTTTTAAATGCTTTCAACGAGTAATTCTTAATTATGTGCTCTACTTCGTTCAGCATACTTTAATTTCAATAGGTATTTATTTACTTTAATAACAATCTTTATTTTTATTAAATATTTAAATACCTATTGAATATCGACTATTAATTAAATGTGAATAACTTATTTCTTTGTTATGAGTTATATTCAGCAATTTACATATATTGCTGTTGAATTAACAAACATAAACAATTAGTAAAAATGCAAATAAACTATGTTAATATTAATTACGCGAAAATTTTATTGTCATATGTATAAAATTTTCTCTCACAAATGAAAAATATACACATTATGAAAATTAAACTCTTTTATGAAAACATTTTTATCTTTTGTTAAAAAAAAAATCCCTCTTTCAATAAATCATTCCTCTCAAAAAAAAAATTCCAATAAATTTTTCTTTTTTTTTTTTTTTTTTCTTTTTTTTTAGATAGCACAACCAACTACGTATTCTTCACATAGCTAGTTCTTTTTATAACCAAAAAGGTTAATGAAGCCTTTTATTAACCATTACCCTAGCAAAGTCACCGAACACCCATTTAATAAAACAGTACTCTAGTAAAGTCACCGAATGCCCAGTTAATAAATGCATAACATAGATACATTAATATAATAATAAAATGTTTCACAAGTTATAACTATTAAAAATCATTATTTTTATATTGTACTCTATTTTCGCTGAATGTCACTGTGTTTTCTTGACTTATAGTGTACATATTTAGCTTTACCTATATTGTTTATATAGGTTAATACATTGCTCTATACACAATACTATTGACCTTTTTAGTAAAATATTCAGACGAACAAATAGAATGAAACAATTTTATTTTGTGCATGCTAATTTGCAAGGACAATCTGCTATCATAAATGTCTTTTCTAAAATAGTTATTCAAAAAGTATGTAAACAAAAAATATATGTATATAAATACTTTCATTTAAAATGAGCGAACTTAAAAAAAAATAAATAAATAATAATATTTTTTTTGTGTGAGTATTTACAATTAAAAAATAATATATATTATGATAATATATTTTTTATTACAAAAAAAAAATAGTTTTTTTTTCTTTTTTTTTTTTTAGGAGGATAATGTTCAGACTACTATAGAATGTATATTTTTATTTTAAGCTAAAATGTAATTTTAAGGTAATTACATTTTAGAGTGTTACTTATATTAAAAAAAAAATAATTAACTAATAAGTCATATTTAATATTTATTAATAAAAATAAAATTTTATATTAAAATTAAGTAGAATTTACACTACATTTTTCTTATTGATTTATTTGTTTGACACGAGAAAAGTAATTTATTAACTATTAATAAATCAGAGCTATAAATAATTTCTTTTCCTTAGAAATATTATCCTATTTATAATAAATATAATCATTCTAATACATCATGAACTGTAATTTGTATAATTTATGTTTCTATATCTCCAATACTCACACTATTCAAATTATTTTAATATCATGTAATATCTATGTTAAATGTAAGGTACTTTTATATTTTACATATTTCTATTAGTAAGAACAACATCTAGATATAATATTAAAAAAATATAAATCATAAAAAACATACTTTTATTGAATTTATGATTATTCTTTAGAGAAAAATTAATGTTAAAATATTAAAAATGATAGTATTTATACACACCACTTTTTATTAATAATACGTCAAAGAATCTAACAAATTAAATTTAAAAAATAAAAATTTTTATTAAAATTCTCTATTAATATTTACAAAGATTTCTTAAAATTTAACCTTTTCAGAATAAAGTTATATTAGAAAGGAACAATTCTTGAATTTATTTATACTATATAAATGAGTTACCTAAATTTTTTGGTAAGCAAAATGAAAAATAAAAAATTGTGCTATAATTGTATAAAACCGAAAATAAAAAAGAAAATAAACACATCGTAATAGCAATCAGAGTTATCAAATAATTATATAAAGGCAAAAAAAAAAAAAAAAAAAAAAAAAATAATTTTTTTTTATATTTAATTAGAAGATTATAATAATATATATGCAAAATGTTATTTTATAATTATGTTTTATCTTTATTTATTGATATTTTTTATATCAAAATAAATATGCATTAATTTGAATTTTATAAGAAAAAATCTATTATATTTAAATAGAGATATATTGTTATATTCAGTAAATAACATTCATATTAAATTTGAAACATATAAGTATTACTCGTAAAAAAGTAAATATATAAATATGTATTTTTAGAATGAATTAAGTAAATTTGTCAAAAAATAAAACTTTTTTTAATAAATATCTTTTACTGTAAATATATGATTAAAAAAATAGTATTTTTTTTTTTTTTTTTAAATTGTAATTAATTTATTTGACTTTTAAATGTGCTTTTTATAAGATTTGTTATAAGAATTTCTTTAACGTATATACCTATTTTAACTTATTCTTCTGAAATTAAGTACATAATAAATTTTTTTTATTTTTTTTCAATAGTTGAAAAAGTAATTTTTTTTTAAAAAATAGTTATAGCAGAACATAAATATATACATATATTGTATAAACATTTATCAATAATAAAAATAAGAAAAAAAGAATTTAGATAAAAAAAAGTATATTATAAAAAAAAAAGTTATATATAAAAGAAAAATATAAATAAAAAAAAATTAGTTTTATATAAAGTTAAAAATTATGATAAATGTAACATACTGCATGAAAAATAAATGCGTATAATAATTTTTAATTTATAGATTTTTTTTTTTCTTCTATTAATGGAGATATATCTCTATAAAATACGAAGATTTATATTTATATATCATAATAAACCGTACATAAAATAATTTAAAGTTCGACATAATTCACAGAGATTGGTAGTTTAGAAAAAAATAATAAAAAAAATTCTTTAACATTAAATGTATATCATTTATAATTTTTATATGCATTAAATTAAAAATGTTTAATTTTTTTACATAATATAAAGATAAATAAAATTTTAAGAAATATTTTTAAAATAACTTTATCCGATTTATTATATTTTTTACTTATTTGTAAATTAACATTCTTATTTTGTTGTTTAAAAAATTAAGAATATTATTCCTATCTAAAGTAACCATAATATCATGTGTAATAATAAAAAATTAGAAATTACATTTCATGTATCAAAAAAATTTTCTATTTTAAAAATTTAAGAAATTAATATAAGTCACAATAATATCTAAATTAATATTACAAATCCATAATTTAGTATTATTGAAAATTGAAACAGTTTTACATCTTAATTAACAACTTCCATTTCAGTATTATTCTATGAATATATTAATATGAAAACGTTAATTTTATATTTAAAAATTACTACATTCCTTCTTTTAATTTGGATGTATCAATGTTTTTATAACGTAAGTTAAAATTTTTACAAAAAATATACATATAGATATATTTTATTTCTAATTATTTTTAACATTCCATTTGATTTACTATTCTAACAAAAGAAACATTCCTTTAAAAAATTTTTATTTAATCCACAGTGTGATTCCTATAAAACATTGATTGATAAAAATATATTGCAAACAAAAAATAAGATAATATATGAAAGAGTATTAACAGAGGGTGACATAGCAGGAGAAAAGCAAACTTACGGTGAAGAATGCATAGGAGAATGTCCATTAGATAATGAAAAAAATAAATGGGAAAATCCGGTTCAATGCGAGAATCCGTGCGATCAATGGCATAATGTCATTATTCCATCATTGTGGGAGGACTTTAATAAAGAAACAAGTGAAATGGACCCTAAATTGAAAGAAAAAAAATGGAATGTTGAATGGAATCAAATTTCAGCTAACAAAGTTAATGATCTGTCTTCAATATATCATCGACAAGATATTTCAGAAGAAGAAAAAAAAAAAAAAATTTATAGTGTTATGAATGAACTTATCTCAGAATATGTGAAATTTTTATACGAATTTAAGAAAGAGATGAGAGTCTATAAAAAAGAATCCGAATCTAAGAAAGAGATAAGAGACAATAAAACAGAATCCGAATCTAATAAAGAGATGAGAGAAAATAAAACAGAATTCGAATCTAATAAAAAGATAAGAGACCATAAATCAGAATCCGAATCTATGAAAAAGATGAGAGACAATAAAACAGAATCCGAATCTATGAAAGAGATGATAGATAATAAAGCAAAATCTGAATCTGAGAAAGAGACGATAAACAATAAAACAGAATCTGAATATGAGAAAGAGATTACAGACAATAATACAAAATCCGAATCTGAGAAAGAGATGAGAGACAATAAAACAGAATCTGAATCTGAATCTGAGAAAGAGATGAGAGACAATAAAAAAGAATCCGAATCTACGAAAGAGAAGGGAACAAATGAAATAAAAAATTATAAAAAAAAAATTTCGAAATTGATTATTGTTTTGATATTCTTAAGGAGAATAGAATATAATGGTTTAACAGAGAATATAGGAGGGGTCATGCACAAGATCTAGTTAAGAAAAGGAAAAATTAATATTTTGTTTAAATTTTTTTTATAGAAATATATTTTATTTTTTAAAAACAAAAAAAATTAATAAACAAAAATTTTTTAGAAAAAAAAAATTTCATGAGAATATTTTTTAATTTTTAAGAATAAAATTTTCGTTAAGTGATAATAATGTAATTAAAATTTTTTTTTATTATTTAAGTATTTTTTTATTTTTAAAAGCAGTGAACTTAAATTACTGAAAATTACTTATAAAGAACAATAAATATTTTGTACATAAAAATTAATTATTAATTAGAATATATGTTTTATTAAAAATACATAATTTTTATTAAACTAAATCCACAATGAACCTCAATATTGCGGTTTATTTGTTTATATCATTAAAATTAGATTTGAAATTCATTTAATTACTAGAGAACACTCTATATTCTCTTTAATAATATGTTTTTAATTACTATAGCAAATTCATTGAATGATAAATTAATAAATTAAAAATGTAAATTAAGGAAAATAAATAAATCAGGTAGTAAATGTAGAGGATAAAATAGAAGAAAAAAAGTTGGATGCAAAATTATTACCAGCTTACCTACATGACAAAAAAAGGACACAAAAAAGAAAAAAAAAGTCTTTATTGAGAATTATTAGAGTTAAAGATTTGATAATAAAAGGAATTATTAGCCTTTTTTAGAAAAAAATTAATAGCTATATTGAAAATAATAGACATGTGATTTATTAACTGGGTGTTCGGTGACTTCACTAGAGTTCTGAACAAACCAATTAATAAAGAGCATGCAGATGTGTCTCTACGATTTTGTTGTATTTATATATATTTTTATATACTTTGAACGAGTGATTCTTAATTATATGATCTACTTCGTTCAGCATTCTTTGGTTTCAATAGGCATTTATTTACTTTAATAAAAATCCTTATTTTTATTAAAAATTTAAATCCTTATTGAATATTGACTATTAATTATTTCATTGTTATGAGTTATGTTCAGCATTTTAACCTTATTTCTGTTGAATTAACAAACATAAACAATTAGTAAAAATTCAAATTAATTATATGAATATTAATTACATGAAGATTTTATTGTCATATGTATAAAATTTTCTCTTACAAATTAAAAATATAAATATTATGCAAATTAAACTCTTTTATGTAAATATTTTTTTATCTGTTTAAGATCTCATTTTTATGGTTACTAAATCTTACTCTCAATTTTTATTTTACTAATCTTATTCTTCTCATTTAAATCATTCAAAAAAAATGAATATATTTTTTTTTTTACGTATCTCTCTTTTTTTTTTTTCAGCAAAAAAAAATATAAAAAAAAATTCAATAATTTTTTTTATCGAGTGTGCAAAACCAACTGCGTATTCTTCATATGGGTAGTCCTTTTTATTACTAAAAAGGTTAACGAAGCCTTTTATTAATCGGTGCTCTGGCAAACTCACCGAACACCCAGTTAATAAATCAATTGGTTAACACATTGCTCCATAAACAATACTATTGACCTTTTTTGTATAATTTTAGACGAATAAATAAAATAAAAATATTTTATTTTGTGCATTATAATTCGCAAGGACAATCTGCTATCATAAATGTCCTCTCTAAAATAATTATTCAAAAAGCATGTAAACAAAAAATATATGTATATACATACATGTACTTCAAGTGAGTTCACTTAAAAAGAAATAAATAAATAATAATATTTTTTTTTTGTGAGTATTTACAATTAAAAAAAAATATATATTATGATGATATTTTTTTTATTACAAAAAAAAAATGTAATCGTAAAACAAAAAATTACTTTTTTTTTTTTTTTTTTGGAGGATAATGTGCAGACTACTATAGAATGTATATTTTTATTTTAAGATAAAATGTAATATTAAGGAAATTACATTTTGGAGTGTTGCTTATATTAAAAAAAAAAAAATTAACTAATAAGTTGTATTTAATATTTATTAATAGAAATAAAAATTTTATATTAAAATTAAGAAGAGTTTACACTATATATTCTTTATTAATTTATTTGTTTGATACGAGAAAAGTAATTTATTAACTATTAATAAATCAGAGCTATAAATAATTTCTTTTCCTTAGGAATATTATCTTATTTATAAAAATTATAATAATATTAATACTTCATGAACTGTTATTTTGATAATTCAAGTTTCTATATCTCCAATACACACACTATTCAAATTATTTAATATCATGTAATATCTATGTAGTTAATAAAAGGCTTCATTAACCTTTTTGGAAAATAAAAGGACTAGCTAACAGAAGTATACTAAGTTGGTTATGCACACAAACAAAAAAAAAAATTCATAATTTTTTTTATTTGTACTTTTTTTTTAAAAAAGTACAAAGACTGTAAGGAAAAAAAAATTTAAAGATAGTCAGGAAAAAATTTTGATTAAAAAAATCGAATTTTTAAAATATTTGTTACTAATAAATAAATAAAAAAAAAAAAAAAAAAAAAAGATGTATTTTTTTTTTTTGGAGGAAAGGAAATTTTTCTTTTTGGTGATGAGTTTTGTAAAAGAAAATTTTATATATATAACAATAAAATTTTCATTTAATTAATATTTATATAATTTTTTGTATTTGTCAATAATTGTTTATTTTTGTTAATTCAACGCCAATATACATTAATTGCTGAATGTAACTCATCACAAATAAACTAGTAATTTACAATTGATTAATAATTAATAATTAATGTTCAATAAGGATTTAATTTTTTAATAAAAATAAGGATTTTTATAAATGTAAATAAATGCCTATTGAAATAAAAGAATGCAGAACGAAGTAGAGCACATAGTTAAGAGTTACTCCTTTGAAGCATTTAAAAATATATGTAAACACAACAAAATCGTAGAGGCATCTCTACATGATCATTATTAATTTGTTTGTTCAGTACTATAGTAAAGTCCCCGAATACCCAGTTAATAAAACACTATGTTAAATGTAAGACACTTTCATATTTTTACTTGTAAGAACAACATCTACATATTATATTAAAAAAATATAAATCATAAAAAACATACTTTTATTAAATTTATGATTATTCATTAGAGAAAAATTAGTATTAAAATATTAAAAATGATAGTATTTATATACACCACTTTTTATTAATAACATGTCAAAGATTGTAACAAATAAAATTTAAAAAATAAAAATTCTTATTAAAATTCTCCTATAATATTTACAAAGATGTCTTATAATATTTATCCTTTTAAGAAAAAAGTTATATTAGGAAGGGACGATTGTTGAATTCATTTATGCTTTTTAATAAAAGGTTTCATTAATTTTTTTTTGGTAATAAATAGGACATGCAATACGAAGAATACGTAATTGGTCATGCACACAAAAAAAAAATATATTTATTTTTTTTAAAAAATTTAATAAAAGAGAGAAAATTGGTAAAATAAAAATCGGGAGTAAGATTTAGTAACAATAAAAATGAGATCTTAAGCAGATAAAAGATATTTAAATATAAAAGAGTTTTATTTTCATAATATTTATATTTTTAATTTGTGAAAGAAAATTTTATACATATATCAATAAATTTTCATGTAATTAATATTTACATAATTTTTTGTATTGTTAATAATTGTTTGTTTGTTAATTCAACAGCAATATATATTAATTGATGTATGTAACTCACAACAAATAAACAAGTAATTTACATATAATTAATAATCCATATTCAATAAGTATATAAATTTTTAATAAAAATAAAGATTGATATTAAAGTAAATATATGCCTATTGAAATTAAAGAATGCTGAATGAAATAGATCGCATAATTAAGGATCACTCGTTCAAAGAGTTAAAAATATATATAAATACATCAAAATCGTAGAGGTAACTTTACATGCTCTTTATTAATTTGTTTGTTCAGTACTCTATCAAAGTCACCGAACATCCAGTTAATAAATCAATACTATATAAATGAGTTACCTAAATTTTTTGGTAAGTAAAAAGAAGAATAAAAGATTGTGCTATAAATAAATATAACTGAAAATAAAAAAGAAAATAAACACATTGTAATAATAATCAACACTTATCAAATAAATATATAAAAGCAAAAAAAAAAAAAAGAAAAATATATTTTTTTTATATTTAATTAGAAGATTATAATAATATATATGCAAAAAGTTATTTTATAATTCTCTTATATCTTTATTTATTGATATTTTTTATATCACGATGAAAATACTTTCTTTTGAATTTTATAAGAAAAAATCTATTAAATTTAACTAAAGTTACATTTTTATATTCAGTAAATAATATTTATATTAAAATTGAAACTGATATATATTACTCGTATAAAAGTAAATTCATAAAAATATATTTTTAGAATAAAGTAAATTTGTCAAAAAACTTTTTTTAAAAAATATTTTTTACTGTAAATATGTCATTAAAAAAATAGTATTTTTTTTTTTTTTTTTTAAATTGTAATTAATTTATTTTACTTTTTAATGTGCTTTTTATAAGATTTGTTATAATAATTTCTTTAAAGTAAATACCTATTTTCACTTTTTCTTTTGAATTTAAGTACTTAATAAATTTTTTTTATTTTTTTTCAAATAGTTGAAAAAGTAAATTTTTTTAAAAATTAGTTATAAAAAAAAATAAATACAAACATATATTGTATAAATATTTGTCAGAAACAAAAATTAAATAAAAAGAATTTAGATAAAAAAAAGTATATTAGAAAAATCAAAAAAGTTATATTTAAAAGAAAAATATACACAAACAAAATTAGTTTTATAATAAGTGAAAAATTGTGACAAATGTAGTATACTGCATGAAAAATACATGCGTATAAAAATTTTTAATTTATAGAGTTTTTTTTTTTTTATGGAGATATATCTCTATAAAATACGAAGATTTATATTTATAAATCATAATGTACCGTATATAAAATAATTTAAAGTTCGTTATAATTCAAAAAGATCGGTAATTTAGAAATAAAAAATTAAAAAAATTCTTTAACATTAAATATATATCATTTATAATTTTTATGTGCATTAAATTAAAAATATTTAATTTTCTTACATAATTTAGAAATAAGTAAAATTTTAATTACATATTTTTAAAATAAATTTATCCGATTTATTATATTTTTCATTTATTTGTAAATTAACATTCTTATCTTATTTTTTAAGGATTTAAGAATATTATTACTATCTAAGGTAATCATAGTATCATATGTAATAATAAAAAATTACAAATTACATTTCATATATGAAAATTATTTTGTATTTTAAAAATTTAAGTAATTAATATAAGTTATAATAATATCTAAATTAATATTATGAATCCATAATTTAGTATTATTGAAAATTGAAACAGTTTTACATCTTAATTAACAACTTCCATTTCAGTATTATTCTATGAATATATTAATATGAAAACGTTAATTTTATATTTAAAAATTACTACATTCCTTCTTTTAATTTGGATATATCAATGTTTTTATAACGTAAGTTAAAATTTTTACTAAAAATATACATATAGATATATTTTATTTCTAATAATTTTTAACATTCCATTTGATTTACTATTCTAACAAAAGAAACATTCCTTTAAAAAATTTTTATTTAATCCACAGTGTGATTCCTATAAAACATTGATTGATAAAAATATATTGCAAACAAAAAATGAGTTAAAATATGAAAGAGTATTAACAGAGGGTGACATAGAAGCAAAAAGGCAAGCTTACGCTGAAGGATGCCCAAAAGAATGTTCATTAGATAATAAAAAAAACAAATGTGAAGATCCGTTTCCATATGAGAATCCGTGCGATCATTGGCATAAAGGCATTGCTCCACAATTGTGGGAGCTATTTGATAAAGAAACAAGTGGAATGGACCCTAAATGGAGAGACCAAAAATGGAATAATGAATGGAATAAAATTTCCGCTAAGAAAGTTAATGATCTACCTTCAATATATGATCAACAAGATATTTCAGAAGAAGAAAAAAAAAAAAAAATTGACAGTGTTAAGAGAGAACTTATCTTAGAATTTATGAAATTTTTAGATGAATGCAAGAAAGAGATGAGAGACAATAAAACCGAATCGGAATGTAAGAATAAGATGAGAAACAACAGAACAGAATCCGAATGTATGAAAGAGATGAGAGAAAATAATACAGAATGCGAATCTAAGAAAGAGATTAGAGACAATAAAATAGAATCCGAATTTATGAAAGAGATAAAAGACAATAAAACAGAATTCGATTTTAAGAAAGAGATGAGAGACAATGAAACAGAATCCGAATCTAAGAATGAGCAGGGAAAAAATAAAATGAAAAATAAGAAAGCAAATATTTTGAAATTTCTTTTTAAGAGGTTTGATAACCATTAAGAGGATAAAAATTAATGGTTTAACAGAGAATATAGAAGGGGTCATGTACAACATCTAGTTAAATAATAGAAAAATTAATATTTTGTCTAAATTTTTTTTACAGAGATATATTTTATTTTTTTGAAAAAAAAAAAATTAAAAGAGAAAAATTTTTTAGAAAGAAAAAATTTCATGAGAATATTTTTTAATTTTTAAGAATAAAATTTTTGTTAAGTTATATTAATATAATTAAAACTTTTTTTTATTATTTAAGTATTTTTATTATTTTGAAAAGCAATGAACCTAAATTACTGAAAATTACTTATAAAAAGCAATAAATATTTTGTACTTAAAAATTAATAATTAATGAGAATATATGTCTTTAATAAAAATACATAATTTTTATGAATGTAAATTTACAATGAACCGCATTATTGCAGTTTATTTGTTTATATCATTACAATTATATTTAAAATCCATTTAATTACTAGAGAAAACTCTATATTCTCTTTAATAATACGTTTTTAATTACTATAGCAAATTCATTGAATGATAATGTAATAAATTAAAAATGTAAATTAAGGAAAATAAATAAATCTGGAAGAAAACATACAGGATAAAATAGAAGAAAAAAGGTTGGATGCACAATTATTAACAACTTACCTATATGACAAAAAAAAGACACAAAAAGGAAAAAAGAAAAGTCTTTATTGAGAATTATTAGAGTTAAAGGTTTGTTAATAAAAGGAATTATTAGTCTTTTTTAGATAAAAATTTATAGATGTATGGAAAATAAACAGACATGAAAGTACTAGATAAATGAAGAAAAAAAGTATTGAATAGTGTGAAAAAAATATTCAAGTTATTAAAAAATAGAAGAAAAATTGATAAAATTTTTTTTCGTGGAAAATTTTTATCTTTGAATTTTAAGGAGAAAATTTTATATTAACAATAATAAAATTTTCGTGTTTGTAGTATTGTATTACTTATTTTGTGTTTTGTTATTTATATATGCTATTTCGCGATAAGTGAATTTGAATTGTTAAACATTAATCATAACGCTATAAGTAAAATATATGTGATTTAAATCAATAATTAATAAAGATTTAAATTTTTATTAAAAATTAGGGATTTTCTTTAAAATAATTAAAGGCCTCTTAAAAACAATAAATGCTCAATAAAGGAGACCATATACATTTCAATGGTTTATGTATTAAAAACAAATTTAAATTCATTTAAATGGTACAAGAAATTCTACCTGCTCGTTGTTAATCCTTTTTTTCATACTCCAGCAAAGTAATGAATAGGAAATTAATAAACCATTAATTACATTTATCTTACTTATATTATGATTTATATTTAACAATTCAAATTTATTGATCTCAAATTAACTAGCATAAATAATTCATAATATAAAAATTAAATTACGTGAGTACTACAAAACACAAAAATTTTATTATAGTTAATATAAAATTTTCTTATATAAATTTAAACAAAATACACCACAATAAGCTTTATTAGTCTTTAACATTTTCTTCATTTTTTTCACCACTAAATTCCTTTAAAAGAAAGTAAAAATTTATTTTTTTGTGTATTTAAATTACAAAAATAGAAAACACATTAACTAATTTTTTTCTTTTTTTTTAAATTAACAATTGTATGTTGTTTAATAAAATGTATTATTGAACTTTTTTTTAATAAACGATAATAGTTGTATGGAAAATATATAGTTATTCATGCAAATTCTAGATGCTAAAAAAAAAATAATAAATAATAAAAAAATAATTGTTAATTACTTTGTTTTCTTTTTCTAATTTTTAAATACAAAAAAAAAAATATATTTACTTTTTTTTTGAATTGATTAATTTTTCAGTTTAAATATTTATTTTGTTTATTTCTTATTCAATAACATTTCTAGAGTATTGAGGAAACATATTAGTAAAGAGAAGATAGAATTTTCTCTACTAATTTAATGAATTTATGTTAGATTTTTATTTAATAAACCAGTAAACTGCTTTATATATATAGTCTTCCTGAATTAACATTTTTTGTTTTCTAGTGGCAATTATTTATTTTAATATAAGTACTAAATTTTTAATAAAAATTAGAAACCTCATTGATTATCGATATTAACTATATATATTTTATTTATATTGTTAAGTGTAATGTTTAAGAATTCAAATCCATTTTTCCGAAATTAACAAATATAAATAAGTAACAGAATACAAAATAAACTACACAATGTTACTAACACGAAAATTTTATTATCATTGTTATAAAATTTTCTTACATGTATTTAAAACATAGTATACATGTTTAATAAAAGACTTCATTATCCTTTTTGGTAATAAAAAGGACTAGCTATATGAAGAATACGTAGTTGGTTGCGCACACGCAAAAAAAAAAAAAATATTATTGAGTTATTTTTTATATTTTTCTTAAAAAAAAAAGGAGATACTTAAAAAAAAAAATAATATATTTATTTTTTTTAAATGATTGAAATGACGCAGAATAAAATTGGTAAAATATAAATAGAGAGTAAGATTTAGTACCAATAAAAATGAGATCTTAAACAGATAATAATGTTTATATAAAAGAGTTTAATTTGCTTAATATTTATATTTTTTAATTTGTGAGAAAAAATTTTATACATATGACTATAAAATTTTCACGTAATTAATATTCATATAATTAATTTGCTTTTTACTAATTGTTTATGTTTGTTAATTCAACAGCAATATATTTAAATTGCTGAACATAACTCATAACAAAGAAACAAGTAATTTACATTTAAATAATAGTCAATGTTCAATAAGGATTTAAATTTTTAATAAAAATAAGAATTTTTTTTAGTAAATAAATATCTATTGAAATCAAAGAATGCAGAACGAAGTATATTACATAATTAAGGATCACTTGTTCAAACCATTTAAAAATATATATAAATACATCAAAATCGTAGAGATAACTCTACATGCTCATTATTAATTTGTTTGTACAGTACTCTAGCAAAGTCACCGAACAACAAGTTAATAAATCAATATTATACAAATGAGTTACCTAAATTTCGTAAGTAAAACGAAAAATAAAAAATTGTCCTATAAATATATAAAACTATAAATAAAAGAGAAAATAAGCACATCGTAATAATTATCAACACTTATCAAATAAATATATAAATGCAAAAAAAAAAAAAAAAATAAAAAATAATTTTTTTTTATATTTAATTAGAAGATAAAATAATATATATGCAAAAAGTTTTTTTATAATTCTGTTTTATCTTTATTTATTGATATTTTTTATATCACAATAAAAATGCATTCTTCTGAATTTTACAAGAAAAAATCTAATATATTTAACTAAAGATATATTTTTATATTCAGTAAATAACATTAACATTAAATTTGAACTGATACGAATTACTCGTAAAAAAGTAAATTTGTCAAAAAATAAACTTTTTTTAAAAAATATTTTTTACTGTAAAAATGTAATTAAAAATATAGTATTTTTTTTTCTTTCTTAAATTGTAATTAATTTATTTGACTTTTAAATGTGCTTTTCATAAGATTTATTATTATAATTGCTTTAAAGTAAATATCTATCTTCACTTTTTTTTTTAAATTTAAGTACTTCATAAATTTTTTATTTTTTTTCAAATATTTTAAAAAGTAATTTTTTTTAAAAAATAGTTATAACAAAAAATAAATATATACATATATTATATAAACATTTATCAATAATAATAATAAAAAAAAAGAATTAAGGTAAAAAAAAGTATATAAGAAAAATCAAAAAGGTTTTATTTAAAAGAAAAATATACACAAACAAAAATTAGTTTTATATTGAGTGAAAAATTGTGACAAATGTAGTATACTGCATGAAAAATACATGCGTACAAAAATTTTTAATTTATAGGGTTTTTTTTTTATTTTTTGATGGAGATATATCTCTATAATATATGATGATTTATACTTATAAATCATAATATACCCTATATAAAATAATTTAAAGTTCGTCATAATTCACAGAGATTGGTAATTTTGAAAAAAAAAAAATAGAAAAAATACTTTAACATTAAATGTATATCATTTATAATTTTTATGTGCATTAATTAAAAATATTTTATCTTTTTAAATAATTTAAATATAAATAAAATTTTAATAAAATATTTTTAAAATAACATTATCGGATTTGTTATATTTTTTATTTATTTGTTAATTAACATTCTTATTTTATTTTTTAATGAATTAAGAATATTATTCCTATCTAAAGTAACCATAATATCATATGTAATAATAAAAAATTACAAAAATTATATATCATATATGAAAATTATTTTCTATTTTAATAATTTAGGAAATTAATATAACTTATAATAATATCTATATTAATATTACAAATCCATAATTTAGTATTATTGAAAATTGAAACAATTTTACAGCTGAATTAACAACGTCAACTTTAATATTATTCTATAAATATATTAATATGAAAACGTTAATTTTATATTTAAAAAGTACTACATTTCTTCTTTTAATTTGGATGTATCAATGTTTTTATAACGTAAGTTAAAATTTTTAAATAATATACATATAGATATATTTTATTTCTAATTATTTTTAAAATTCCATTTGATTTACTATTATAACAAAAGAAATATTCTTTTAAAAAATTTTTATTTAATCCATAGTGTGATTCCTATAAAACATTGATTGGTGAAAATATATTGCAAAAAGAAAATAAGTTAAAATATGAAAGGATATTAACAGAGGGTGACATAACAGCAAAAAATCAAGCTTACGCTGAAGTATACACAGAAGAATGTCCGTTAGATAATAAAAAAAACAAATGTGAAGATCCGTTTCAATATGAGAATCCGTGCGATCATTGGAATAACGTCATTGCTCCACGAATGTTGGAGCTATTTAATAAAGAAACAAGTGGAATGGACCCTAAATGGAGAGACCAAAAATGGAAAAATGAATGGAATAACATTTCATCTAAAAAAGTTAATGATCTATCTTCAATATCTCATCGACATGATATTTCAGAAGAAGAAAAAAAAAAATTAATTGATAGTGTTATGGAAGAACTTTTCTCAGAATTTGTAAAATTTTTAGACGAATGTGAAAAAGAGATAATAGACAATAAAACAGGATCCGTATGTAAGAAAGAGATGAGAGACAATAAAATCGAATCCAAATGTAAGAATGAGATGAGAGACAATAAAACAAAATCCGAATCTAAGAAAGAGATAAGAGACAATAATACGGAATCCGAATTTAAGAAAGAGATGAAAGACAATAAAACAGAATGCGAATTTAAGAAAGAGATGAAAGACAATAAAACAGAATCCGAATTTAAGAAAGAGATGAAAGACAATAAAACAGAATGCGAATTTAAGAAACAGATGAAAGACAATAAAACAGAATCCGAATCTAAGAATGAGCAGGGAGAAAATAAAATAAAAAATAAGAAATTAAATATTTGGAAATTTCTTATTAATATGTTTGATAACCATTAAGAGAATATAAATTAATGGTTTAACAGAGAATATAGAATTATTCGTGCACAAGATCTAGTTAAATAAAAGAAAAATTAATTTTTTGTCTAAATTTATTTTATATAGATATATTTTACTTTTAAAACAAAAAAAAAATTAAAAGAGAAAAATTTTTTAGAAAGAAAAAATTTCATTCGAATATTTTTTAATATTTATGAATAAAATTTTCGTTAAGTGTTATTAATATAATTAAAATTTTTTTCTTATTATTTAAGTATTTTTATTATTTTTAAAAGTAATGAACTTAAATTAGTGAAAATTACTTATAAAAAGCAATAAATATTTTTTTTATACTTAAAAATTAATAATTAATGAGAATATATGTTTTTAATTAAAATGCATAATTTTTAGCAAAGTAAATTCACAATGAACCGCATTATTGCAGTTTACTTGTTTATATAATTAAAATTATATTTAAAATCCATTTAATTACTAAAGAAATCTCCATATTCCCTTTAATAATTTGTTTTTCATTACTCTAGAAAATTCATTGAATGATAATTTAATAAATTAAAAATGTAAATTATGGAAAGTAAATAAATCAGGTAATAAATATAGAGGATAAAGTAGAAGAAAAAAAATTGGATGCAAAATTATTACGAGCTTAACTACATGACAAAAAAAGGACACAAAAAGGAAAAAAAAAGTCTTTATTAAGATTTATTAGAGTTATAATTTGTTAATATAAGGAATTATTAGCCTTTTTGAGAAATAAATTAATATCTGTATGGAAAGTAAATAGACATAAAAGTACTAGATAAAAGAAAAAAAATAGAATTGAATAGTGTGAAAAAAATATTCAAGTTTTTTAAAAATAGAAGAAAAATTGATGAAAAGTTTTTTCGTGGCAAATTTTTATCTTTGGACTTTTAAGAGAAAAATTTATATTAACAATAATAAAATTTTCGCGTTTGTAGTATTGTATTACTTATTTTGTGTTTTGTTATTTATATTTGCTAATTCGCGAGAAGTGAATTTGAATTGTTAAAAATTAATCATAATATTATAAGTAACATATATGTGATTTAAATCAATAATTAATAAAGATTTAAATTTTTATTAAAAATTAGGGATTTTCTTTAAAATAATTAAAGGACTCTTAAAAACAATGAATGCTCAATAAAGGAGACCATATACATTTCAATGGTTTATGTATTAAAAACAAATTTAAATTCATTTAAATGGTAGGAGAAACTCTATATGCTCGTTGTAAACCCTTTTTTTCAATACTCTAGCAAAGTAATGAACAGGAAATTAATAAAAATTAATTACATTTATTTTACTTATATTATGATTTATATTTAGCAATTCAAATTTATTACTCTCAAATTAACTAGCATAAATAATTGATAAAATTCAAATTAAATTACGTAAGTACTACAAAACACAAAAATTTTATTATAGTTAATATGAAATTTTCTTACATAAATTTAAATAAAAATACACCACAATAAGCATTTTTAGTCATTAACATTTTCTTTTATTTTTCGACTACTAAGTTCCTTTTAAAAAAAGTAAAAATTCATTTTTTTGTGTATCTAAATTACAAAAATAAAAAAAACATTAACTAATTTTTTTCTTTTTTTTTTACTTAACTATTGCATGTTCGTTAATAAAATGTATTATTTACTTTTTTGAAAATAAACAATAATAGTTGTATGGAAAATATATAGTTTTACATGCAAATTCTAGGTGCAAAAAAAAAAATTAAAAAATAATTGTTAATTACTTTATATTCTTTTTCTAATTTTTAAATACAAAAATAAATATATATTTACTTCTTTTTTGAAATGATTAATTTTTCAGTTGAAATATTATTTTATTTATTTCTTATTCAATAACTTTGATAGTCTATTGAACAAACATATTAATAAAGAGAAGATATAATTTTCTCTACTAATTTAATGAACTTATTTTAAGTTTTTATGTTATAAACCAGTAAACTGCTTTATATATATAGTTTTCCTAAATGAACATTTATTGTTTTTAAGAGGAAATTATTTACTTTAATAAAAATACTAAATTTTTAATAAAAATTTGAAACCTCATTGACTATCGATATTAATAATATATATTTTATTTATAAGGTTATGTGTAATGTTTAACAATTCACATGCATTTTTCCGAAATTAACAAATATAAATAAGTAATAGAATACAAAATAAACTACGCAATATTGCTAACACGAAAATTTTATTATCATTGTTATAAAATTTTCTTACATGAATTTAAAACATAGTATAATTAAAGAAATTTTTTAGTCAACAACTCTTCTTTTCAATTTTTCAATAATTAAATCATTTGAAAAAAAAAAAAATATATTTTTTTATGTATTTTAAATTTACCAAAAAGAAAATAAAAAAAAATTAATAATTTTTTTTTTTTATCTATCGCTTGCATGTCTATTTATTTTCCATACAGAAACTATTTTTTATTCTCAAAAAGTTCAATAATACGTTTTATTATCCAAATATAGAAAAAAGAATTGTTATCACAAAGCTTCTTGAAGTATATTTTGTTTAAATTTATATAATAAAATTTTAGTGTTTTGTATTATTCGTATAATTTATTTTTTTAATTATTTATGTTTATTAATTTGAGAGAAATGAATTTGAATTGCTAAACGTTAATTATAACATTTTAGATAAAATACACGTAAATTAAAACTAAAATAATGATATAAATTTTTAATAAAAATAGGAATTTTTATTAAAATAATTAAATGACTCTTAAAAACAATAAATGTTCAATGAAGGAGAGCATATACCTTTCGGTTTATTGTATTAAAAACTAATTTAAATTCATTTAATTGGTAAAGGAAATTCTACATGCTCGTTGTTAATCCTTTTGTTTAATACCTGTTTAATAAAAGGCTTTATTAACCTTTTTTTAAATAAAAAGAACTAGCTATATGAAGAATACGTAGTTGATCATGCACACAAAAATAAAAAAAAATAAAAAAAAAATGTGATCAATTTTTTTTGCTTCTCTTTTGATAAATTAAAAGAAGTAAAAAAAAATATAATTTTTTTTTTTTTAAGAAAAAAACGTCTAGAAGTATTGGTTAAAAAAATCAAATGGAAAAAGATTTGTTACCAATAAGAATGAGATATTAAACATACAATAGATATTTATATACAAAAGAATTAAATTTACATAGTATTTATATTTTTAATTTGCAAGAGAAAATTTTATACATGTAATAATAAAATTTTCATGCAATTAATATTCATATAATTAATTTGTATTTTCACTAATTGTTTATGTTTGTTAATTAAACAACAATATATTTAAATTGCTGAACATAACTCATAACAAAGAAACAAGTAATATACATTTAATAAATAATGAATATTCAATAAGAATATATATTTTTAATAAAAATAAGGATTTTTATTAAAGTAAATAAAGGCCTGTTGAAATTAAAGAATGCTAAACGAAGTATATCACATAATTAAGAATCAGCCGTTCAAAGCCTATAAAAATATATATAAATACATCAAAACCGTAGAGGCAACTATACATGCTCTTTATTAATTTGTTCGTTCAGTACTCTAGCAAAGTCACCGAACATCCGATTAATAAATCAATACCATAGATTCTTTAATTTAATAATTAAATGTTTCACAAGTTGTAACTATTGAAAATAATTTTTTTTATATTGTACTCTATTTCCGCTGAATGTCACTAAGTTTTCTTGGCGTATAGTGAACATATTTAGCTTTACCTATATTGTTTATATTGGTTAATACATTGCTCTATAATAAATAATATTGACCTTTTTTGTATAATATTTAGACGAACAAATAGAATAAAAACATTTTATATTGTGAACGTTAATTCTCAAGGAAAATTAGCCATCACAAATGTTTGCCTAAAATAGTTATTCAAAAAGTATGTAAACAAAAAATATATGTATATATATACATGCGCTTAAAGTGAGTGCACTTAAAAAAAATAAATAAATAATGATATTTTTTTTGTGTGAGTATTTACAATTAAAAAAAAGTATATATTATGATTATATTCTTTTTATTACAAAAAAAAAAAAATTAGTTTTTCTTTTTTTTTTTTGGAGGATATTGTGCAGACTACTATAGAATGTATATTTTTATTTTAATCTAAAATGCAATATTAAGGAAATTACATTTTAGAGTGTTCCTTATATTAAAAAAAAAATAATTAACTAATAAGTTATATTTAATGATTATTAATAAAAAAAAAAAAAAAAATTATATTAAAATTAAGTAGAGTTTACATTACATTTTCCTTATTAATTTATTTGTTTTACATGAGAAAAGTAAATTAAAAGCCATTAATAAATCGGACCTATAAATAATTTCTTTTCCTTTGGAATATTATCTTATTTATAATAATTATAATCATTTTAATACTTCACGAACTGTCATTTTGATAATTTATGTTTCTATATCTCCAATACATACACTATTCAAATTATTTTAATATCATGTAATATCTATGTTAAATGTAAGACACTTTAATATTTTACATATTTTTACTAGTAAGAACAACTTCTACATATAACATTAAAAAAATATAAATCATAACAAATACACTTTTATTAAATTTATGATTATTTTTTAGAGAAAAATTAGTGTTAAAATATTAAAAATCATAGCATTTATACACACCACTTTTCATTAACAATATGTCAAAGATTCTAACAAATTAAATTTAAAAATTAAATATTCTTATTAAAATTTTCCAATAATATTTACAAAGATGTCTTATAAAATTTAACCTTTCAAGAAAACATTTATATTAGAAAGGGACAATTGTTGAATTTATTATACTATATAAATGAGTTACCTAAATTTCGTAAGTAAAATGAAAAATAAAAAATTGTGCTATAAATATATAAAACTAAAAATAAAAACGAAATAAATACATCGTAATAATAATCAAAACATATCAAGTAAATATATAAAAGCAAAAAAAAAAAAAAGTAAAATAATTTCTCCTTATATTTAATTAGGAGATTATAATAATATATATGCAAAAAGTTATTTTATAATTCTGTTTTAACTTTATTTATTGATATTTTTTATATCACAATAAAAATGCAATCTTTTGAATTTTATATGAAAAAATCTATTATATTTAAGTAAAGATATATTTTTATATTCAGTAAATAACATATATATTAAATTTGAAACTGATAAGTATTATTCGTAAAAGAGTAAATTTATAAAAATGTATTTTTTGAATAAATTAAGTAAATTTGTCAAAAAAAATAACTTTTTTTAAAAAATATTTTTTACTGTAAATATATGATTAAAAAAATAGTATTTTTTTTTTTTTTTTTTTTTTTTAAATTGTAATTAATTTATTTGACTTTTAAATGTGCTTTTTATAAAATTTCTTATTATAATTTCTTTAAAGTAAATACCTATCTTCACTTTTTTCTTTGAATTTAATTACTTCATAAATTTTTTATTTTTTTTGAAATATTTTAAAAAGTAATTTTTTTTAAAAAATAGTTATAACAAAAAATAAATATATGCATATATTGTGTAAACATTTATGAACAATAAAAATAAAAAAAAAAAAATTAAGATAAAAAAAAGTATATTAGAAAAAAAAAAAAAGTTATATTTAAAAAAAAAATATACACAAACAAAAATTAGTTTTTATTAAGTGAAAAATTGTGACAAATGTAGTATACTGCATGAAAAATACATGCGTGTAAAAATTTTTAATTTATAGAGTTTTTTTTTCTTTTTTTGATGGAAATATATCTCTATAAAATACGAAGATTTATATTTATAAATCATAATATACCGTATATAAAATAATTTAAAATTCGAGATAATTCACAAAAATTGGTAATTTAGAAAAAAAAAATTAAAAAAATCCTTTAATATTAAATGTATATCATTTATAATTTTTATGTGCATTAAATTAAATATATTTAATTTTTTTACATAATTTAAAGATAAATAAAATTTTAATAAAATATTTTTAAAATAACTTTATCCTATTTATTATTTTTTTTATTTATTTGTAAATTAACATTCTTATTTTATTTTTTAAAGATTTAAAAATATTATTCCTATCTAAAGTAACCATAATATCATGTGTAATAATAAAAAATTAGAAATTACATTTTATATATGAAAATAATTTTCTACTTTAAAAATATAAGAAAATAATATAAGTTATATTAATATCTAAATTAATACTACAAATCCATAATTTAGTGTTATTAAAAATTGAAACAATTTTACACCTGACTTAACAACTTCCATTTCAATATTATTCTATAAATATATTAATATGAAAACGTTAACTTTATATTTAAAAATTACTACATTCCTTCTTTTAATTTGGATGTATCAATGTTTTTATAACGTAAGTTAAAATTTTTACAAAAAATATACATATAGATATATTTTATTTCTAATTATTTTTAACATTTCATTTGATTTACTATTCTAACATAAGAAACATTCTCTTTAAAAATTTTTATTTAATCCATAGTGTGATTCATATAAAACTTTGATTGATAAAAATATATTTCAAACAAAAAATAAGTTAAAATATGAAAGAGTATTATCTGAGGATAACATACCACTAAAAAAGGAAACTTACTCTGAAGAATGTCTAGAAGAATGTTCATTAGATAATAAAGAAAAAAAATGGGAAAATCCAGTTAAATACGAGAATCCGTGCGATCAATGGCATAAAGTCATTACTCCAAATTTGTGGGAGCGATTTAATGAAGAAACAAGTGGAATGGACCCTAAATTGAAAGAAAAAAAATGGAATATTATATGGAATAAAATTTCAGCTAAAAAAGTTAATGATCTATCTTTAATATTTCGTCGAAGAGATATTCCAGATGAAGAAAAAGAAAAATTAATTGATAGTGTTATGGAAGAACTTCTCTTAGAATTTGAGAAATTTTTATACGAATGTAAGAAAGAGATGAAAGACAATAAAACAGAATCCTAATCTACGGAAGTGATGAAAGAAAATAAAACAGGATTCGAATCTAAGAAAGAGCTGGGAATAAATGAAATAAAAAAAAATAAATTAAAAATTTGAAAATTGCTTATTAATAGGTTTGATAACCTTTACAAGAATAAAAATTAATGGTTTAACAGAGAATATAGGATTTGTTTTTCATAATATCTAGTTAAAAAAAAGAAAAATTAATATTTTGTCTAAATTTTTTTTATAGAAATATATTTTATTTTTTAAAAAAAAAAAAATTAAAAGAGAAAAATTTTTTCGAAAGAAAAAATTTCATAAGAATATTTTTTAATTTTTAAGAATAAAATTTTCGTTAAGTGATATTAATATAATTTAATTTTTTTTTTAATATTTAAGTATTTTTATTATTTTTAAAAGCAGTGATCTTAAATTACTGAAAATTACTTATAAAAAGCAATAAATATTTTGTATTTATGATTTATTAGTTGGGTATTCGGTGACTTTATTAGAGTAATGAGCGAACAAATTAGTAAAGAACATGTAGAGCTGCCGCTACGGTTTTGATGTATTTATATATATTTATAAATGCTTTGAATGAGTGATCCTTAATTACATAATCTACTTCGTTCAGCCTTCTTTAATTTCAATAGGCATTTATTTACTTTAATAAAAATCTTTATTTTTATTAAAAATTTAAATCCTTATTGAACATTAATTATTAATTAATTGTAAATTACTAGTTTATTTATTATGATTTACATTCAGCAATTAATATATATTGCTGTTGAATTAACAAACATGAACAATTATTTGTAAATATCAAAAATTATATAAATATTTACATGAAAATTTTATTGTTATTTTGTATAAAATATTCTTTTACAAAATTCATCACAAAGAAATATTTCATTTCCTTCCCACAAAAAAAAATTCTCTTTTTTTTTTATTTTTATTTTATTTATTTTTAACAAATATTTCTCTAATAGATTTTTTAATCAATTTTTTCCTAACGATCTTTGCATTTTTTTTATCAAATTTTTTTCCTGACAGTCTTTGTACTTTCTTTTTTAAAAGAAAATACAAACAAAAAAAAATCATCAATTTTTTTTTTTGTGTGTGTTCTTGACCAACTTCTTGTTCTGCATTTAACTAATCCTTTATTTTCCAAAAAGGTTAATAAAGCCTTTTATTAACCATACTCCACCACCATGGGAAAGTAATGGTTATTACTTAAAGTTTGTTATTTTTGTATTGTTTTATTACATCAACTCCTTTTTGTACTCCTTTTTCAATTTGATTGTCCTGATTATCGTTGATATCACCGTTATGATACTACTCCGTTTATGAATCTCTAGATAATCCTTAGACTTTAAATCATGCGTCAGATTTAATTTCCTTTTATTCTTATTTGTAACTTGTATTAAATTGTGCATTTGCCTTTCATATATTTCCCTGGTTTTGTTAATCAACAATTTTATTTTTGACATTGGAATTTGTACTTTACCTCTATAGTATATAGATAATGCTTTCAGAATTCCGCTTTCAATTTTAGTTACTCTATGTGGAAATGATAAATATGGTTTTTATCGTATATTTCCAATATAGTATTTCATTTGATTCCTTTCGTATTCGGATAATTCGTATGAGATAATATCTTAAACCTTAATATTTTTATTCTCAATTATAGGTTTTCTTTTGATTTCATTAACATTTTCATGTATGCTTTTCCATCGATCGTTTAAGTATATAATCCTTATTTCAGAAGTTGTTTCCTGTCATATTTTGCAAATCCTGGACAGATACAATCTATTCCAAACATAGAAAAATAGGGTGTTTCTCCTGTGGCTCCATGGTTAATAAAAGGTTTCATTAACCTTTTTGGTAATAAAAAGAACTAGCTATATGAAGAATATGTAGTTAGTTGTGCACATCCTGAAAAAAAAAAAAAAAAAAAAATTGAATTTTTTTTGATCTTTTTTCTTTTAATAAATGGAGATACGTAAAAAAGAAAATATATTTATTTTTTTTATATGATTTAATTGGGGAGAAAAAAGATTGGTTAAATAAAAATCGAGAGTAAGATTTAGTATCAATAAAATGAGATCTTAAACAGATAATAATGTTTACATAAAAGAGTTTAATTTGCTTAATATTTATATTTTTTAATTTATGAGAGAACATTTTATACATATGACTATAAAATTTTCACGTAATTAATATTCATATAATTTATTTGCATTTTTACTAATTATTTATGTTTGATAATTCAACAGCAATATATTTAAATTGCTGAACATAACTCATAACAGAGAAATAAATAAATTACATTTAATTAATAATTAATGTTCATTGAGGATTTAAATTTTTAATAAAAATAAGGATTTTTATTAATGTAAATAAATGCTTCTTCAAATTAAAAAATGCTGAATGAAGTAGATTACATAATTAAGAATCGCCAGTTCAAAGCATATAAAAGTATATATAAATACATCAAAATCGTAGAGGCAACTCTACATGCTCTTTATTAATTTGTTTGTTCAGTAATCTAGCAAATTCATCGAACATCCAATTAATAAATCACTTTATCAATTTGAGTCAATACAGCTCCTATAGAATAATCTGATGCGTTAGTATAAATAGTATAGGGTTTTCCTAATTTTGGAAATGAAAGATAAGTAATTTCCGTCATTTTATTCTTGATATGCTTCAAATCCTTTGAATGCTTTTCTTTCCATTCAAATTTCTGTTTCTTAGTTAACAATGGAACAAGTTTAGAAGTCCAATCTTAAAAGATCTTAATATAATTCCTGTAATAATTAGCAGATCCTAAGAATTATCTTAATTGCTTTTTAGACTTAGGTCGTTCTGTTCAATAATTGTTTTCATCTTATCTAATGAAGGTCTTATACCATTTCGATCTATCTCTTTCCCAAGATAAGTTATAGATGTTTTAAAAAGTTCACACTTTTCTGTATTTATTCCTAAATTATTATTACAAAGTAATTCAAATACTCGTTTTAATACTTCTATGTGTTCAAATAGTGTTTTTGTAAGAATGATGATGTCATCAATGTACACAACTACATAATTCTCTTGAATTAATTGTATAAAAATATCTTCTATTATTCTTTGAAATTGTGTAGGACTTATTTTTAGTCCAAATAGCAATACGTTAAATACAAATGTTCCTCTCTTAGGAACTATAAATCCAGTATATGGTTTACTACATTCCTACAATGCGATATTCCAAAATCCATTTTTAAAGTCTATCTTCGAAAACCATTTTGTTCCATGAAACGTATGAAATGTGTTTTTCATATGTGGGATGACATATAAATCATCCAATATAAATTTATTTAAATACCGATAGTCTAACGTGACTCTCCATTGACCTGTTTCCTTCCGAACCATTACTATTGGTGAGGTCCAATCTACATGAATGACATTACTTATTACTTTTAATTTTATCATTTCATCTATTTTTCGATGTAATTCTGATAACATTTCTTCACTCAATGGTCTAGGGTTATAACGCCGAGATTTCCCTTGTATCTGAATAGAAACTTTGTATTTGTTGTTGGGTTCCATGATTTTATTTCCCCAGAGTCTTGTATTATTTCTTAATACTTTTTCCAATTCTTCTTTATTTTTCTGATCTTTTAAGTCAGATCCTTCAACAAAATTCTGAATAATTTCTTTATTCGAATTCTCCAATCTATCTTCTTTAACTTCAGGTTTAACCTCCATGATATACATATGTTGGTTATTTCTTTTTGTGATGGAATAACCTAATTCGTCCATTACTATACCGCTAAGTAATATCAGGAGTTTATTTGTTTTTATTATTGCAAATATGGTTAATACCTTCATATTGGTAGATTTCATAAATATTTTCACCTTTTTAGATTTCATTACCATAATTCCATTATCTATTCCAACAACTCTTATTGGTTGTAGTGAGATATCTGGTTCTATACCTAGTTCTTTAGCTGAAACCGTTGATATAGTACATAAATCTGCTCCTATATCTAGTAGAACATTGACGTTATGTCCGTTAATTTCTACGGTTTGTTCCGCATTCGCAAATGGTCCTTTTTAACTTCCAATTTCTGTAGTCCTATTAACAGATGATCCGCTTTCTACTGAGTCTGTTACACCTTCATCGGATTTCTTTTCGATGTCAATTTCTTTCTCCTTAAACACTTTATTTATTATGTTCCTCTTTCTATCCTTCTCTTCGTCACTTTCTTTAGGTTTATTCACTTTATACCTTTCTTTTTCCTTTTCTTTTTGTCTTTCCAGGTGTTCCAATTGTTTATTAAGGTATCTTTGCATTTGACGGATTTTTTGTGGATTAGTTTCATTTTTGATCATTTTAAAATTTAAATTATATCTTTTATCTGTTATTATACCTTTGATTTCATTTTCTTTATCTCGTATCACTTTATTTCTACATTCTAATGCCAAATGTCCTATCATATTACAATTACTACATCTTTTTTTTCTATGTATGCAATACTTTTTAAGATGACCTTTTTCTCCGCAAAAGTAACATTTATTAAATGTTCTTTCCTTCTTTTCTGAATATCCATTCTTATATCTATTTACTGTCCTTACATCCAAGTTATTATGATTATTTTCTTCTTTGCACATGTCTTCTAATGCTAACATTGTTGATATTACATCCATAAATGCTTTATTCTTAGATAATTTAATAGGTGCTTTTACTGAATAATTAAATGAAATTAGTAATCTAAAAAATCTCTGTAAATCGTCAATATTATATCCGTTTGGTTCATCGAAACATAAACAACCATCCACATATTCTTTAGTGTCTTCAATGAATGAATTCATAGCTTCCAGTACACTGTTTCTCCAATATACAAATAATGGTTTTCTCATATGTTTGATGCGCTCATCACCATTTTTAAATATATTCTTCTAGAATTTTATCTTTAACTATGACATTTCCGTTATTTCCTCATCGCAATAGAATTTTGTTATCCATCCTGAATAAG